GAGGAGATCGCTGTCAGGGCGGGCAGCGCTCTGTGTACCGGGCAGCTGCGAGGCTGTGCCCGCAGGAGCCCCCGGCCCGCTCTCCCGGCACAGGAGATCGCTGTCAGGGCGGGCAGCGCTCTGTGTGCCGGGCAGCTGCGAGGCTGTGCCCGCAGGAGCCCCCGGCCCGCTCTCCCGGCCCGCAGTCCCGTCAGATGGGAAACGCGCACCGGCTGGCATTCTCCTTGCGTTCCTCAGTGCGGCTCAGAGATCCCCTTTTCAGCTCACTTCCCCTTACCGAGGGATCAGCATCCTGGGAGAGCTGCCCTGCACCCGCAGCCCCCTCTGTGACCGTGTGCAGATTTTTCTGCCCAATGTTTTGAAATGCTTTCAAAAGTGCACCCGAAGTGACACTTGAAAAAATAATTAAGTTTGGGGTCTGTAAGTTTCAATTTTAAAGCTGCCATTACCATTTGATATTAAATTAATGGGAGTATTCCAGCTGTGGACATATCTATTTGTAATTGTATGGGCTATTAAAACCATCAAGTAATATATTACTGGACTGCTTTGGTTAAGTAGAAAGTTTTCACAGTCTTGGTTAACAATTTTTTTTTCCATAAGCATAGAGGGAGATAAGGACAATGCTGTACTGAAAATAATGGTACAATATTACTTTTCTTCTTCATTTTTTGCAAATAGGACATTCAAATTTGCACCCTGGATTGGCCCAGCACTGCAGGAGAAACAGTCTGGGATATGACCTTTGCCATTGTTTTCTTTCTGATACCAGGATTCATCATTGTCATCAGTTACTCAAAAATCTTACAGGTATGTTTTTCCTTTAAATTTTGTTGTAAAACAAAGGGAAGTAAACAGTAAACTCACTAGTCATCAGCATATTGTCACTGAATACAAATACATGTAAAGGGAACAAACATCACTTGTTCAATATAATATGTGATATAAAATGAAGTGTTTCAATCTGCACATAACAGCCTATACATTTCAATTAAGAACATGCTTCAACAGCACATTACCACAGACTCAACACATGGTTTTTCTTCTTATAGATAGTATTAAATACACTTCTTCATTTATGTACTGTTCATATTTAAAGACTGACAGTCTCCTAAATGCTGAAAGAGTCAAGCATTTGAAATAACTAAAATTAGGTTTTGTTTTTCTTGAACCTAAACTCTAGTCATAAGGCATTTGTAAGAATGCAAAAATAGGCAGGATTAGAAAAAAAATAAAAATCTATTTTTTGATTTATTGGCTTTCTGCACGTGTCTTTAGTACACAGATCTCATTAAATTATAGTTAATCCTCCACAACTTCAAATATTGTAAATAAAACCTGTAAATTAAACACTCTTCTTCCACTTTCTTTCTACGTGGATGGTGTTTAACATATATGAAATATAAAACAAGCTACCCAGCACCACAGAGTTTTAATCTATAGTCGAGCAAGCATTATATTAGCATCTAAATTCCTTTTAAACTATCCAAAACCAGAGTGAAAAAAATCTAGAAATCTTCAAATCAAACACTTCAAACTAGTCACTGCAATGCCTAGTTTTTATCAGTCTCCCACAAGATCCTTGATTCCTTTATTGGGAAATTCAATTTCTCATAATATGTATAAAAAAATTATAGGTTTTGGAAAGGGACCTCAACATACATGGATTATTGAGCAAGGAGTTAATTGATGAAATGCTGAGCACCAAGGGGCTGTGGATGCACATACCAGAGCTGGATGTAGGTATAAAACGAACCTAGGACCTAGAATCTGGTCTCCACACATCCTTGCCTATTGATCAAACTTAAACTTGTAGTAAAAGTCATCAGCTTGTAGCTTCTGTACTGTCTATTAGCTCACTGTAACCTTGAGGCAAATGCATTAGGTGAACCTCTTCTAGTGAAGTAAAGCACTTGCAACCACATATTGTTGTAGACAAAGAGTGTAGAGCATCTTAGTGGAGAGTATGAGTCCTTTGAAAGAACTGCAAAATACTACAGGCCAAGGAAAGCCACAGTTCTTGGTCAGAGACCAGGACAGGAATGCTGTTTGTCATGTCCTTGCAGACTCCAGATTACAGGAAAATTTGTAAAACAAAATGGCACATAGGGAGCTAGAAACCAAAAGCAGTGTTTGGAATACTGGATTACAAGATGTCCCTGTGCTGCTCTGCATTTTATTTTCTAACTTGTTAACAGAGATGCAAAACTACATTACCATTGCCCCTGAAATTAAGAAGGCTGGAGGCCCATAGCAGGATATAATCGAACCTTCTCTCTCTCCAGGAAGCAACTAGAACTGAACTGGAGAGTATCTCCATCCCTGAGTCATACCCAAGAGCAAACTCACTCTCACTTTGTGAGAATGCTCCATTATGCCAGTGCACACATAGCATGATTCTCAGTATTGCTGGAAGCAGTCACAAGCATTCATGTATTCATCTTACAACATTGATGATGATGAGGATGATGAGGATGATAATGACTGACTACAGATACAAGACCTGAAATTTTTTAACAATATACACTACTACAAATGTACTTCACAATTTAGTCTGAAACTGAGTATTATTTTTACATAACACTTCCCAGAACCCTGACAAAATTTACAAGATTACAATGATCAGTAATTTATTTAGTTTTCAATTGTTCTGTCTCTCAGGCAAGACTTCATCAGAGGCTAGAGCTAGGGAAGATCTCTGTGTTCTGAAAGTGACATGCTTTTATATATATCTGACTTCCAAGTTCCTGTTTGTCTAAGTGTGGTCCAGATGCTCAGGATAGAAATCTGTAATGGGCAGATCAAAAAGGGATCTACAACGTACCACTGCCATCCCATTTCTCTTGAACACTTTAAGATTCAGTTGTCTCTTACTTAGCATAGTCCTGGTGATTCTTAGTTCTAGGCTGTGCAGCTCCTGCAGGAAAGACAGAAGGTTAAATACCTTCATAGGACAGATAAAAATTTATCTGATGAGGACATTCTGTAGCAGGTTTGAAAAGTGCACACAACCCAGTTTTCCTACTTTTATGTTAGAAGTGGATATTAGTGCTTTGCCTTCTGTGAAACCTTCATTTTTACTAAGATAGGTTAGAGTGTCTCTGAGAACAGCTTTGTTTGGACTGTTTGGAGGAGTTAACCCAGTTTCTGGATTCCAGATGGTACAGCAGAAGATCATCAAGATGGAATAGTTTTATATGCTCAGGACATCAGGATTCTCTGGCCCTTTTAAATCAGGGAAGCAGTGATACTGTCCCCTTCTCAGTCTCAGATGCTGCTAAGAAACCCATTTTTGATTTACGGGTTTTGATTTATACACCAACATTCTATTGAAATACTTAGAAGACATCTAGATTCTAACTGTGTATTTATCTCTGACAAATTCAGAAAACTGCAAACAGAATGACAAATTACTGTTTCTCTATCTAAACGCTTTATCCTTATCTGTACCAGGAAGTTAAAAGGTGTTGCTAGTACTAGAGTTATCCTTCCTGTAGTTTCTGCTAAAGGGAAAAGCGGCAGGAGAAGTCTTACATTTTGACTTTCCTATGTAGACAGCTAATTGATCAAGGCTTTTGAAAATGTTTGAAAACATCCCTTCTTTATGCATGCAGGGGATAAAGTGGCATCTCAGTTATTTAGCACAAATCTTTCTTTGATAGATATTTAAATTTTATTTGCATCAGATGTATGAATGTAACAAACTTTATTGTGCCATGCCAACTTCAGGGAAGACAGAGATATAGAGCAGGGGATTTAGTTTTCTGCAAGCCACTGGGTTCAATATTCTGCCTAATGACAGATGATGCACACCCATGAATACTAGGTTTTCCAAGCTACCCATAGTCTAGTTTATTACATCAGAGAGTACTTTTACAAGACACAGATTTTTATAGTGACTGGAAGGATCTGTAAGATTTCATGTTCATTCATAGAAAGCAATTGTGATTACTGTCTGAAAAGCTAAGTGTGTCACAAAACAATGCAGTCTCATTCACATTTAAAATTATTTATTGTAATAAATTCATGCTCCTTCTAATACCTACCTTATAATATCAGCATGGCTGTAAGAGAATTGGATCACACTCCCTCTTGAGCATCAACAGGTTTGTTAACTATGTTCCAGTTTGCATTTGTGAAGAAAATCAATGGGTTTCTTTAGATAGAATAAATGAGGTCATAATTTGAATTCAATGGGATTTCATGAGTAATTAAAACTGTTTTATGCTGAAAAGTATTTGTGACTTGTAGAGAGCCATGGAAAGAACACTTTGCCAGAACTTGACATGAGTTCACAGCTGAGAGGAAAGAGAATTGCTAGTGAACTGAAAACATTTGAAATGGAACCATTGACAAAAAGTACGAATTAATTCTGCAATGCATTTTTTTGTAGTCGCTTTTCAAAAGAAAATATCATGCGCCAAAATTTATTTTTTCACTTGTAGAAATGTGTTTCAGTGAAAGTTACTTTCTTCTCTTTTACTGCAGATTACAAAAGCATCAAGAAGAAGTTTAAATGCTGGTTTAGCCTACTCAGAACATCATCAGATTCGTGTTTCCCGGCAAGACTACAAACTATTCCGAGCCCTTTTTCTGTTGATGATCTCTTTTTTCATTATGTGGAGCCCAATAATAGTAATTATTTTTTTAATTTTAGTTCAGAACTTCAAAAAGGATTTAAATATTTTGCCATCAGTTTTCTTCTGGATAGCATTATTCACTTTTGCCAACTCTGCTGTCAATCCAATTCTGTATAATGTTTCCCATTTCAGACGTAAATGTCAGGAAATTCTTCTCTGTTGTACAAGGAACCCTGAAAGGCATGGAGCAGGTACAGAAACCACTGCAAGAAGAAGTAACCGTGAACAGCCGCATTTGTCTTTCATTACCAGATAATTATTTAAAGTCTGAGCTGTGCCACACTTTGGATTTTGTCTATGCTATCCCAGGTTACATAGGTCATTATGTTATAGTATTACATGCTAGAAGAGGAGGAAAAAAAAGCTAAATGCATATTTTTAATTCCTGCAAGTAAAATTCTCTTGACTGCATTTGCTTTTCCTTAGTAAGGTTTGGACAATTTAATCCAATGGATTGGATTCTCCTCTTATGCTGAAATAAATAGAAATATGGCAGTGAACTTGGTGAATGTAAAATAGTTTAATTAAGTACTTTTAATTTTCTAGTGAAAATGTTCATCCTCAGAAGGTATCTGCTTTTTTTTTTTAATCCAGTTTTTAGAGGGAACTTGATTAAGCACTTCAATAGTTGACTGCCTGAACACGTTTGAGCAAACTAACTGAAACAAGGTAATCAACATGTTATCACCAAGTAAATGACCAGTTTGGTTCCATCTCAGATTAAAAATAAGGACTTAATACATGTGAATTTTCAAGTGAAGAATAAATAAATAAATAAATGGTTGTCATGTGTAAAATAGTTCTTTTTAAAATATGCACATTTTTAATGTTCACTAGTCATATAATAAAGTTCATTAGTGATATATAGGGTCACTGAAATTCCTTTCTCTTTTCTAAATGATTTCCAGTATTTTATAGAGAAAATATAGTGTTCTATTTGGAAAGAAAATACATATGCTTGGAAGTTCATGATAAATACTCTTTTAGTCAGAAATTGAAACCACTAAAAAAAGCAAGATTAAATTCTTGATTATCACCATGTGTCACCAGCTCAAAACAGTGCACTAAGATAACAGGCTGCTAATGAAACCATTAGTTAGTGTCTACCTACGTACAGATTTACATACAATTTGCATCCACTGTAATCCAAGTTTATTAAAATGTTTCATTGATTTATTAACAAGGTGAGCTACACAGCTCAGATAAATATATTGAAAATCTAAATGAAGCCATTTAAAGCATTTTCCAGAGAACACATGATCAATGTGTTAACTTTACATCCGTGGTGCTGTTATGTAGTTTCTTGCCACAGGGTTGGACCTCCTTAAGAGCAAAATCCTGAAACACACAAAAATCACAGTTGTGTTTGTCAAGCTAGACAAAATTTAATTACATGAACTTTCACCAAATTTAAAATGCATACATATCTAATTTCTTTAAATGCTCTTGAGTCTAGTAGTCTGTTACTTGTAATAATAATGCCATTACCTTTTTCTGCAGATTATAATGCCAAGCAATTTTCAACTCAGAACAAAACAGGAATTCATCCAATCTGTCACCCCTCTCCTGAGCATTTTAATACTTTTGCAGACAAGGTACTGGGCAGATCAGTGATAAAAGAGTATCTTGCAGTGATAGGAGTCTATACTTTAACAAACTTCTAGTTATTTGCTTAAAAAGAATCAATTTAAGAATGTCTTTCCACAAAGTAAGAATCTCCTGACTCCCAAAATTTCTAATGGCAATAGTAAATTAGCAGAAGGAATATACCACTCTTTATTTTACAACTTTTCCTTCTACCAATTACTAACAGCAGATGCAGCTTTCAATTCTACTGAAATGACACTATTTACAAGTACTCTGACTTAATATTGGCACTGACATTACACAGCTTCAAGTTACTTGAGCTATTACTCTGAGAGAGTAAATGTGTGTATATATATGCATATATAAAAAAATGTATACATACATGAGTATTTATATATATTATATATATATTTCTATATTTATATATAAATGAGTATTTAAAATAAATATTATTTTAATATTTAAAATATAAATAAAATAAATATAAATGTAGAAATATAAATATAAATAATTATTAAAATATATTTATAATAAATTAAAAATAGCTTGAGCTATATTTGAGAAGCAACTACTATCATGCAGCACAAGTTAGAACAAAAAACTTTAATTTCCTAGGCTTCTCTTTTGCCTTGAACAGCCAGTACAGATATTTTAATTTTTTTAAAATCAAGGTAAGTTTTGTACATCTATTAGTTGAGGGGGCGCACACATATGTGCACGCGCACACACACTCTCTTAATTAACTTCAAGACATAGGCAGAGTGTACACAATTAGCAACAGATACCAGCCTATTCTTGCAGCATTTACTAATATCAGTCAGAATTTTATCACAGTAACAATGGCATGCAGGTCAGTGCAGACAGTTGAAGTTGGTTTGTTTTGGTATTAATTCTGTAGCTCTTAATATCAGATTTAAAATTAAAGTAGTAGGGCTTCCAATCCACACATAAAGAATTAAGAAAATTTTGTAAGAGTTTATGATATGAAGCTTCCAAGATTTTTTTTTTTTTCAGTTTAGCTCACAATCATTCCCTCAGTCCCAAATGTGCTTGCTTTGCAGGAAGTTTAGCTTAATGACACTGGAGAATTCAGAATCAACTAATAATAGGGTCCTGATCAATAAAGGGGAAATGCAAATTTCTGGCTTTAAACTTTGGTGCTGGGCTTATAAACTCTGGCATAATCCTTAATAAAAACGTACCCAGGCTCCTATTTTTCATTTGCAAACCACAGAACTCACACAGTCATATCAGACACTGCACTCAACACCTAACATCTGAGTATAAATTAGGATAGCAAACAAAGAAGAGTGTGACTTGGTAGATTAGATATTTGATATCTATAACAAACTATAGGAAGCATGATCAACTTTTAAATTATCTTAGATTTAATAGAATATCCCTTAACATCTGATTATTTGGCTTTCTCATTTTCAGAAATTTTTATTCTTGCTGGACTTGAAAAGCAGGGAATGAAGGATTCAAAACAGAAAAGTATAATCAATTTATATAATGACTTTGTTTCTTTTCTATCCTAACATTTATGCAGTCATACAAATCATTCATAGAAGTTGATTCAATTTGCATTTATGATGTCTCTTATTCTTGACTGTTCTAAGTCTTAACTGACGTACGTTGTCTCCAAATTCTCATTCAAGACAAATTTTTTTTTTTCATTGCTGTCAGGAACTTTTCCTGGGTCACTGATCATTACTGTAAACACTACCTACTTCAGCAGAGTAGGTGGCACCCTGTTCTTCAAGGCACCCTGTTATCAGCATACTACTTTACAACACAGCAATATATTACTCTGTGTTTGTGGCTCAGATGAACAGATAATAGAGACATGACAGCTGACTTTGCTCATCTGTTACGACTTTCTTTATATGACACAAAAGTTCCTTCAGTCAATCCCAGTTTGTTCTATCATGTCATTGAGAAAAGCCTTTAATCTTGATTTACAGATTTCAGTGATGAAGGACATACAACAGCTCTTGGTAAACTGTTCCAAAGGTTAATGACCTTTGGAGTTAAACAAATGGTTGTTTATTTCTGCTCTGAATGTGTCCAGTTTAAAGTTCCATCCCTTTAAATTTATTATTTCTGTGTTTGCAAGTCTTTTTCTATCCAATTCCTACTGCTTGTGTGGACAAGCACAGACATTGTTTAGGTCACCCATTAACCTCTTTCTAATGAGAAAGATTAAGATCTTTGAAGGACTCACTAGAGGACACATTTTACAAATTTTCAATAATTTTCTCTGCTCTTCTTTGAAACTTCTAATTTATCCTCAGTACTTTTTCTAGTTATGCTTGTCACCAAATGTGACATAGCAATTAGGCCTATGCCAAGCAAAACAATCTCATTGTTTGGTCTTGGTTTATGCTTCCAAGAATTGTATTAACTCTTTTGCTCACATCATTACATTGGGAGTTCCCATTCAGCTGATTCAACAGCCAAGTCTTTCATAGATAACATGTCTTCCAGGATGTGAGGGGTAGGGAGGGAGTAGGGAGAGGTACTACTATTTTATTTGTTCTAAATATTTTGATTTTTCTCATTCACTCTTTACAATTCCCCACTTTGGGTGTAATTCTTATCAGTAAGTACATTATGGTTTCTTCTAGATTATTACCATTTGGCCTTTTGTAATATACCTGAGCATAAGTGAGCTAATTCCCTGTGTTGTAAGCTCAGCCTGACTATGTGACTCAAGATAGTGTCATGCTTCCAATATGAGGGCTATGTCCCTCTTCCACAGCTCTTTATGAAACAGCTGGCATGAGGACTTGTGAGAAAGGGTCTTCTAAAAGGTATCCTTTCCAAGAGTTCTATTTTCCTTAAAAGCCTTTCTGAGGAATTTCCTAAAGAAGTATTTGAACAAAGGAAAAGACATCTGATGAAAGCTACCCAATTATTTTTACCACAGCTATGAAGTTTATCCTTCCCATGTTTACCCACTCTACATTGATTTAATTGTTTTACAACTTCCTCTAATTACTGTTTCAGGTGATCTGATATGCTGCATGAAAATCTATGCATCTCAACTCTCCTTCAGATAAGAGAAGTAAAAGTTGAAAATAATTTAAAACAAGCTCCAGTTTTCAAAGTACAATGTTACAGCCACTAAGTAAGACTTTATGCATTTGATATGTAGTGAGCAAGAGAATCTCAGTGCTTTAGTCACTAAAACCCTGAAATAAAATTCTTCAGAAAAAAAGTTTCTCACCATTGTGAGCGATAACTCTGTATTTTCTGTCCAAACAGAGGTCTATCTGCCTTTGTCTGACAATTTTCAGTGCATCTGGAGGCAATCCCTTGGGGTCCCGGGAGAACACAAAGGAGTAGCTGTCAGCACAAGTGCCATCTGCATTTAGTTGGCGGCAGGAGTAGTGAAGAGCGTATGTATCATAATCTGTGTCCACTACCCAGTGATCATCATCTGGAAGAAACCATAACAAAGAAGGAAAAGTGTTAGAGATAGCAGTGAAATCTAGTAAATCAGAAAGTATTGCTGCCATAACTCTGTAAAGAAAATACTAAGATGAAGACTGGTACAAATTATAACAGATTAGCTTTTCATTTATTCCTGCATTCAGTATTTAATTCTATGTTTATTTTTTAAAAGAAAATAAAGACAGACATGCTAGGCTTGCTCAAGATGACTCAAACCCATAAATATTTTCCTACCAGGGATGTTACTTAGACAGCATTTGTAAGGAAAAAGAGTATCATGCAGTTTGCATGCGTATTAGAAGTGTATTTGCAAGAAGTTCTGCTATAAACCCTATTCTTAGAACACAGTTACAACTTTAGAGAATTCTTAACTATTCAGCTTTGTAACCTGACCAAAACCTGGTCACACAGGCACTCTGTTCTAAAAGAAGCAAGGCTGTTTCAGTGTTTGCAGTAAAACCTGACGTATCTGCACCTTCCTCTCCTGGAGCAAAAGGTTCTCCCTTGCTGTACATCTGCACTGAAGGCAACACACTGTTGTCTTCCCCTTCTCTCCTGTGGGGGACACCAGACATTTTAGAAGGGTAGAGTTTGGGGTCAGCCAGCAATCTAAAGAACCCACGATGCAGCAGCATATTGTGAGGAGACCTGGTAACTATTTAAGACAAATTGGCATCCAAAACATGCTTTGTAACTGTATCTTTGGATGGAATGGAGCTCCTGTCAGTTCCAAATTCTACCTGCTTCTCTTGGAAACAATCCAAGGAAATGTCTTGAGCTACAAAGTGTCCAAATCTCTATTTGGCTCAAGGAGATAATTTTGCATAGGGTGTGAGAGATGACATTAAAGTATGAATATATCAATATATACATATGATTATATTTGTCTCTTAAAACAGATAAATCCCTACATTTGCAGACACAAGACAAAACAAAATACCATTTTCTAAATCCTCTTTCTTTCTTGGCCAGCTCTGACATCAGGCTTCAGAGAAAACAGAAGCACCTGGTAACTGAGTTCTGAACTAAAACAAGTCTTAAAATACTTCATCTGCCTTTCATTTCTTTCCAAACAGTGGCCTTCAATTACATCGTTGGGTAACAAACAAAAGAAATACAAGATATACAAAAGCCAGGTCTTCACTTGTTTAAAGAAAGCCAACCAGCTGTCCCATATAAAAAGTAGTGATTACCTTGCTCACATTAAGCCTTGCAGTATGATAGTTATTATGTTTTAAATGTGTTTAAGAAATTCAACAGTACTTTTTCCTCCCTCAGCATGTACATAAAACATAACTAGTCTTCCAAGAAGTTCTGTATCTTCTATAATTAAGTACTCACTTCCTTTCTGAAGAAAAGAGGCGACACCCCAGTACTTCATCTTGAACTTGGCAGGATCCTCTGTGTCAGTGAAAGAGCCGATCATGTCAGCACAGACATCCCAGTTACTGTAGCCGGAGACAATCAAAAAAATCACTTTCCAATCTAAGAGCACAGGTTCAGTGTGACTAGCACAGCGACAGCAGGTAGGATTGGAGCAGTAGCTTAGTGAAATGGAACAAGAGGAGAATGGCAAACAACTTACTTGAAGAGTCTGACTCTGCCCTTTGCAGTGGCAGTCATTTGTCCATTCTCATCTACGGTGAACTGGGCTACCACATTGTCCTGCAGAAACAGCCCCTCAGGGTCTTTTTTTGCCATAGCATACCAGGTGCCACTGTACTGCAAGGAAATAAGGAAGGCTTCAGTTAGACCCAGAACAATGGAAACATTACAACCAGACAGTACAGAATAGGGGAGGTGACAGAGGGAAGAACATGCAGATCTTTGACACCATGCCTCAAAGTTGTACCCAAGAAACAAATCTAGCTGTTTCAACAGCATAAACCCCTCAAATACATCCTAGTGCAGTCATAATTTGTGGAAATAAAGACTTCTTTTTGATAATCTTATTTGTATCTGCAGCTGTCCAGTATAAGGAACACAAAATTGAGTGGAAAAAGGAATAACAACTGGCAGATCTTGACAGATCTATGTATATTTTTTTTTCCTTGCAATGGTGTCTGAAAACACCGGACTATTAATTTTTCATAGAAACAACCAAGTCAATACACTCCTTCTGCTTATACCCTACAGTTTGAGACCATTCTGCTAAAACTCAGTTTCTGCAGTATTTCTTTATCAGCTGCATCAGGATCCAGCATCTGTAGAGGTGTGGACATCACACACTTAAGCTGTTTCTCAGTATTACAGTCTGTGACTTTGAAATGTGACCACACTGGTGCTACTGAATGCCAAATTTTATAGCCTGGAAAGAGTTATGCAAGACATCACAGATCCAGGAGAGTAAAGAAGATTTACCCTGGTCTTGTCGAAGTTCTCCTTGACTTTGAAGCTGCTTACTCGGCAGTCCCGCTCTGCAGTGCTGCTGCCCAGCAAGGACAGTGACAGCAGCAGCAGCCAGGGCAGAGCTCTCTCTGTGTGAGCCATCCTGTCCCTGCAGCAAACAGAGAATAGCATCAGAATAAGGCTCTGTTACACAAGTGAAGGGAGGAAGGCTGCTCTGATAAGTTGCCAGGGTGTCATGCAGCTTTCCCTGATGCATGTGCAGGCAAGGAACCTGGTTGTCCCCAGCCCACAGCAGCAGGGTCCCTTACAGACAGTGCTGGTTCCTGGAGCTTCTTGAGAGCCCAAATGTTGATGGTGGTGGCAGTGCCCAGACAAGGACGGCTTTATGTACTCCTGGGGCTTTCGCAACCTGCTGAGCCACGGAGCCCGCATTGGAGAAGGCAGCAGGGAGGTGGGTTGATGGATGCTGCAGGCTGGGGCCCCTTCATAACAGCTTCTTGCGTAACACCCATGGGCTCAGGTGGTCTTTGACCCTGATCTGCAGCCAGGCAGGCTCTAGGAACAAATGCCTCTCTTTGCTTTTCCCAACCCAAAAGCAGAGCTCACACCTGGGGGAAGGGGTGTGCACAGCTGTGGGGAGAACAAATGGAATGAGAGGCATCCCACCTTTGCATGGGGGAGAGTGAACTGCCTCCACCTCCTCTGAGATTTTACACACTGCAGTCCAAAATCCACCTTACCCAATATGCTCAACTCAGTTACAAGGTGCAGACTTGTTTCCTCCACCTCCTCCCCAAAGTCCTTTCCTCTTTCACCCTGATAAACAGTGGAAAACATAATACTTGCAAGTTTCTGCTCATGTTTCTGAAAGCCTGGTCATTCCAGAACCTCTTCAGGTCTTCATGACTGGTTCCTTCTTGCTTCCAAACAGCTCTCTTGGGTGCTGAATCATCTCCCGAACAGCTCCCAGCAACAGGAAGGGGGGTCCTGTAGATCCTTAGGATGCTGAAAGAGCCCTTTTATGTGGTAGGAAGACTTATTTGTGGCCAGCAAATACCCAAGTGCATGTACATACCACATCAGGCCATTCTGACATCTGATTAATTTTAAATCAGATATTCCATAATTTTTATTCTGTTTTTGGCAAACTGTTTTCAGTTATATAAACCATTATTTTCTCCTGTCCAGGCAAGTTTTGCAGCCTCTCAGTCAATATTTGTTCTCTAGTTTCAACATCTTTAGGAAGCATTAGAGAAAATCTGTTAATTATTTTCTAGGCATGTAACCAGAGCAGGATAGGAATGATTGCTACCAAGAGAACTACTTCACCTGCTTTTTTCACCTCCCATTTTTTAAAAGAATAAAGACAGAAGCCTGTTATTTGAAAGGCCAGTATTCATTACTTTAAAAATCCAGTAAAAATATAATTTAAATAAGGAGATACCAATGTAGTACAAAAAAATACCTCATTAGTAGCCAATGTACACCTTTAACCAATTTATTCAGCACGGTCTTTCCCAGAAGTTTACTTAATATTCCTTTCATACATTCATAAAAATATTAGACTTCTTACTGTTACTGTTGCTGTCCTTTACAATCTCTTCTCATATACAATGCAAAAAAATCTCATTGATTTATCTTCCTTTTCTGCTTTGTGTTGGAGGCTTTTTGCACGGTGAGTATGTTTTGTTCACTTTCTCAAACATCTATTGCTCAGGGCTGTTCCATGTCTGCCTTTGATTTCCTGGATAACATCAGACACTAAAAATTCCACTACATTTAATATTAAGTTTCTATTCATAGTAAAGAACATATTTAACACAGGGAACTAGAAGGGTATATGTATATTAATTGTCCTGAAACTTTCAGTGGTAGCTTTGCAATAAGTCAACATTTCCATTTTTAAGCTGAGATTTTTAAATTTGCTAATTCCTACGAAGACTGGAGAGAAAAAATTAAACTCTATTCTTCCGGTAACTTTCATAATCTTGCTTTAGTCTGGCAATGGTGAAACCAGTGATACATACACATTTTTATAAAACCTTTGCAAAACACTCACTGGTCTTAATATATGAATTCATCATATGAATTCGACTGAATCAACAAGGATTTTTGTTCAATGTCTCACATGACTGATAACAATAAGATGGATTATAGCTTAATTCATAATCTTTGAATCTATTACTTTATTTAATACCAAAGAAAACAACTATTTCTTTATTCTCTGCCATTTTGTGAAGTATTATCATTTCTCCTGTTTGTCCTGTTCAAAAATCTGCATACTGCTTTGTATTACTAGAGAGGTTCTTGCAGGATCAAATTTTTCCTATAAAGTTTTTTCAATAGCATAATTGTCTATGAAGTTTTCAGAGGAGTCTACAGTCACTCATCCACATAAGTCAAAATTTGCTGAGATTTGATCACCTCTGAAAATCCAGGTTAGTATTCCTGTTACACATACTGCTGTTGTCAGAAGATTTACAGATGGGAGATGAAACCAGGTGTCAATGAAACAAAAATTTACTTCTGTTAATAAGTTTTAATAAAATCAGTTCTAAATGCATGCAAGAGTTATTACAGTCTCCTAAATTAATCTGATGTAATAAATCTAAATCAGAAATGTGTAATTTTGTATAAGCCATGGCACAGCATTTCTTTAATTGTGTACCTCTACTGCTCTCTGAAATATTTGGCAACTCATATCTGGTGGAGGTTCCTGACAGGTTCAGTAATTAAAATATCCACTCATTCAGGTCTTCAAGTCTGGGATGTCTACAAACTCTAGACAATGCCCAAGGAAACTCTTCTTTTGATGTGTTATCATTGTGAATTTGGGGCAGTGCAGCTACAGTGAAATCACACCAGGATTTCCAGTCAGATTTTGACAAGTGCAGAAGAGAAGCTGGGCAAGTCAGAATGACATGAAGGTCACACAAGAAGTTGGGCTCTGCCTCCTCTGCTTTAGCTATACCTCCCATACTGCCTGCCAGAGACACAGCTTACATTGATGAAGTCCTTTCAGAGCTACAGATGAAGCACTTCCTTGGTTCAGTGGGACAAGGTTTTTAGGCAAAAAGGCTGCTCTGTTGTTGGTTACATCTAGATCAGGCTGTGTTGGGGGAGGAATGGAAGGTTTCTGGTAGTCGAGCTTCGCTATGGCAATTCAAGGGTGAATTCTTCTCAGTCCTAAGAGATACAGTGGTGCCAGCAGAACTGTGTAAACTCATAAACAGTGTAAACTTTGCTTCAGTTAAATACCATTTGGATTGATTAGGTTCTGGGTTTGCTTGAGAAATGATGTCAGTGAGTGATCCTCATCCAGACCTAGATATTCACCTCATAGATTTATACTTCTCATGCAAATGGAAAGGCACTTGGGCCAGTATTTCAATTGAATCTGAGAGGAATCTGCAAGATCAAGTCAATGATATCCAAAGATTTCTAGGTTCTGGGAAAGCTCATACAATTATATTCAAGAGAATTATTAAAATATTGATTACTGATTTAAATATTGATAAGTTTCATACATGATTTCTAATACCTGAGGGTGGCAGCATATTATGAATATTACAGAATTTTTTTTTAAAGTCACAGTGTATTTTTTGAACTACATTAAATGAAAGGGAAAGAAGGTCTTCTACTTTTGAATTTTGCCAAGAGGATAGTAGCTTCTGGCAGTGATTCTGTCACTGGATTATTTTCTACATTAACAGCATGTAAAATTTTGCAATATTCTCTGCTAGATATAGCAAGGAAAAAATATGGAAGGAAATGGCTGGAAAAGAAGTTTCATTGTAGGAATTATTTTATTGTTATTTATGATTTTTTTTAAAAAAGGAAGAAATTATTCAAATTACTATTAAAACATTTTTAACGCTGCAACTTTCAAACTTTACATATTAAAAGGACTAAAATTTTATTTTTGTTCACAAGACGAAGTCAAACTCTTAGGAGAAAGTTGACTCAAAAACTACTAGTAGGAAATGGATCATCCATTTCCAGCCAGACTAACATAGCTTGAAAGATTTTTTGCTGTCTTCTCTTAATTGTTTATTTATAGAAAGCCATTCACAAACATGTGAAGTCTCAAGGTAGATCTGCAGGCAAATGAATGACCACTGTGTGCACAGAGCAGGGGATGCAAGTGTAGCCACTGTCCTCTGAATCCAGACTCATATCAACAACAAATGGCATGAGCTGAGCCAAGGAGCTCCGGGTACTTTGTAAGGGACAACAGTGTACACTGTCGCCATCACAACTGTTCCTCTTGGTGGCAGTCTGAGTACAGAGGTCAAGGACAGAACAGAATAGAAAGGATTGCCCTTTGCTCCATGCCAGCCTGTGTACTGCCTGTTTTTGTAATTTAATGACGCGACATTTTGTTTAGGGAGTAAATTTACACTGAACTCTTTACAAACACTATTTACTAACAAAACCAGACTAAAATGGCACCTCTATTCTCTTTAGCAAGTCTTTCTGAGGGTTGCAATTATGAATTGAATTTTTTTTTCTGGGCATATTACTAAAATGGAAACAATTTGAAACAAAGACCTGAAGTTCTCCAACAGGGTGGCCACCCAGGTGAGAATCTAAATCATCTAAATCATAAATGATGGAAGACACAGACATGATGAAGTGAGTCCAGCAATGAACCACAAAGATCACAAAGCAATAGGAGAATCTGACAAAAATAGAGGCTGAGAGAGCTGGGACTCTTCAGCCCAAAAAGGTTTGAAGGGATCTCAACAACATGCATACTGACAGGAGGACATGAAGAAGAGAGTCAGACCCTCCTTGGCAGTGCTGAATAAACATTCTCAATAGTAAAACCTTGTCAAGTAACCTAAAATCACCAGGGAGTAAGTGTGAGAATGGCTGAGATGAAAACACTTCTGCCTTTTGCCTTAGTCTGTGTACTAAAATTCATGCCAAGCTATGAAGAAATCCATGCTTTTGGTCAAAGCTGAAGCGCATCTGGCAACCCAGGTTAACACCTTTACACTAGACTCTCCCCCAGAGTCTATAATCTCTGTTGATTATTAATTTCATGATCCCCTAGAGCTAATAATTGTTAGTTTCACGAGAACATAAACATTTGCAGCTCTATGGAAATAGCAGTGAACTTACTATCTTCAGCATTTATGTTTTTAATATTGTTTCTGTAAGGAAAGGGATAGAAAATTATTGTAAAAGAAACATGAAATTAAGGATGTTTATAAGGGTTCCCAGAAAATACCGAGTCAGTGACACCAAAACATTTCAGCATGTTAGGGTCACAGAGTACCTGCTGTAAAAAATGTACAGAATCCATTCTCACAACCTATCCATTTAGAAAAAAAAACCAAATAACCCTAAACATTAATTTCTTCACTCTCCAATGTCCAGACAGTGACCACGATATTAACCCCATCAAAAGTCATGCAATTGAAATAAGCATGTTTGATCTGCGTTTTTTCAGAAAATCTTAACTGAATAAACCACATTAACTGCTACCAGGATGGGCAGAGACATTCAGATACAAACATTGAGCTGAACTGGGAAACCTTATAAATACCTTTGACATTTACGTGCTGCCTGAATCTATTTAAATAACCATGTCTGTCAGTTATCCTTCTTAGGAGTTTCCATGTATCACAAGGGCTCAGGAACAGTCTACTACTAAGAACTACTCCATAAATAGTTTGATTTCTGTAGGTACTACAAACGTCAAAGGCAAACGACATCACATGTATTAAAATCACAAAGCAAACATACTTTTGAGAGTCTCTGAAATTAAATTAAGTTTAAATACAAATGTGAATTAGCTTTAATAAAGATAAAATGTTCAATACTGTGGAAAAAAAGGATAGTAAAGGAGACAGAACAGAAAATAAATGTCATATTCCAGCAGAGAAACTTAAAAATTCATTACAACATTTCAAAACTAACTTCTATTGGTTTCTGATATTTCTTTCCATGTCATTTCACATTTGACAGTGCAAGAGTGCAATTTTAAGAGTGAATCTAAATTAAGGAAAATACAAAAACAACTGCTTTATGATACAAGAATGATTATGGAACAGCCCAGCTACAATATTTTATTACAAAGAAAATGTATCACCTTACATAGTACTTAATTAAAAAGTTCTCTTTATTTGTTATGTCAAGGTAAAAATACTGTAGTTTATCCTTTGTAAAAACAGATCAGCATGAGGGAGATTCTGTGGAAGCATGATAAGCATTTTAGGTGATCTTGCAGATAGAAAAAAGTGATAATAAAATTATATTAAATTTGTTAGTTTACAAAAATGTAAACCCCCAACCTTCCTGCCCCAAAAGAAAATGGTATCACCTGGTCAGGTTGCCTGTATTCACTTATTCTCTCTCCAGAGAGTGACATGCCACTCTATTTCACTGAATTAATGTGATGACAATATAAATAATTGATGTTTAAACTGATCTATCATGTGTGATAAAGATAAATGTGTAAGTCTTATATAGAAGTTAGTTTTTTAGAATTTTTTAGCTGGGCATGAGACAGATTCTTTATAGGCGCCATCTACTTCAAAGAAATTACTATGTGGAATGTTCTAAAGTCAGTAAAAAAGTATGACTGAACGCAAAATGCAAAAAATGTTACTATTCCTTCACATGATTTCATTGAGGCTCTTCAACATCCTCTTCTTTTAAAACACAGAATGAAAAGTAATGAGCTAGTAATTAGGAAGAGGACAAGAAATAATTTAGCTCTATGTAGTTATATACAAAATTCTTTTCAAGTCTCTACTGCTTTTATATGTATTGATCAAATATTGAAACTACTAATATTGAAATCGAGTAAGAATAAATGTGCCTTTCTTCTGCTGTTTTCTTGCAAGCTCTGTGTGTATATAATGGTGAGAACACTCTGCTGTGCTGCCACAAGTTCCTATCACTGGGTCACCTGTCAAGAAGTTGCTGCAAACTCACACACCCACCAGGGAGGGACCTGTCCCCGAGGCTGCTGGGGGCAGCAACACAGTCAGAGAAAATGAGCCAGGCCAAAATGTGTTTGTAATGTGCTGATTCTCATGTAGCTTTAAAAATCTGTAGAGCATCTGTAGTCTGGCAAAAATTAGTGCCATACACAGTGTTTCATATCATGGTCAGAGGGAAAAGTAACATTAGGTGTCATTGAGCATCTATCAGTGACCTGTTCTTTGTGCTTGACAGTATCTGTGTCAGTTGTCCATGTTGATACTTTGAGATCTGTTGATAAAAACAAATGTCGACACACTGTGGCTTCTGGCAAACAGATGATGTTGTACTTTGGCAATACTCTTTTCAAATTTAGAATGGCCAAAGGGTGAATGTTTTATTTTCTTACACCAAGAATCTCTCATTGCTTCTGATTTGGATGCCATAAACAGAAGAAAGATTAATTGCAGTCCTCCTACTGTGCTGGAATTTAGATCTGTTTCAATGATCACAGATCATTTACTGTCATAGTTGGCACTTAAATTAGGCCTTCTCACACATGTAGATTTGGAATGTGTGCTCCTCAGATTCAACATATTTTCCACCATTCCTTTTCCATTCATGTGTGTAACGTAAAACTTCTAATGACAGGAAACTTCAAACATGTATAACCATATATCTGTATCTATATAGATACATGGTTATCTATGGTATATCTATGACCAAACTCAAGATTCTCTCTTTGCCTAGTATTTGTCAGTTAGTTTACTTTTAGTGCTATTTAATAGAACAGACATCTCCAACTTTTTCTGAAGAAAGTGTAGACCCTGACTGGATATTTATGCTTATCGAATAAAAACTTTACTGTTTCCTCAATTCAGTTTGAATTTAGTCAATTTTCTGATTTTATTCTTTCTTTTGGCTCTCTTCTTTTGAAGGAAAAAAACCCAAAACAACCAAGCCATATCTGGCTGTGCTAAATCTAATTTTAATTCTTTTATTCCATCGTCACCTAGATAAATCATTGGAGTGCTTGAGGATTTCACACATTTTATTCATATAGCTTTATAATTATTTACTTTTAGTAATCCAATTTCTATCATCTCCTGACTATTTCAAGGAAATCTAAGTTCTACCATTTAAAAGATTTCGCTGTAGCATTCTGTTTTCTTGCCCTTAAGTGCCTCTCACAAATACACGTGTGTACATCTGTGCACGTGTATAATGTGGGCTAAGTATCTGGGTGGAATTTGTCATATGAAGTTTTAATAGGAACTTCTGTGTGCACAGTACAGTATATATACTGTGAATGAAGGAGATAACATACAGGTATACATATCTACACATCAGACAATTTTATAAGAATTAATTGATTAGTTTAAAATGCTAAAATGATTCCCTGAGGATTTATGAGCTAAGAATGCTCAGGGGTTTAGTGTCCTGACATCTCTTTAATTAGCGGTCTCCAAGATCTCACACTAAGAAGATGCTAAGCCAGTGCCTTCTGTCATATCTCAAGAGCATCAGAAGGCTTGGAAGCCACAGAGGAAGATGAATCTATTATGTCTGTGAGCTATACAATATGTACAAAGTACATTTTTCTTACTAGTAACAGGTTAGGACTTCTTGCTGCCATTCCTGCTTTGATGGTGATGCAGCTCTAAAAGAAATCCTAAGAAAAATCCAGCAAAAATGGGTGACGTAAATAAAGATGCCGTTGAAAAATACTTGGAGAACAACCCCCAGTTTGCCAAGGAGTATTTTGACCGAAAAATGAGACCAGAAGTGGTGGGAAGTATCTTTAACGTGAACCCTGGAGATGTGAAGGAAGGAGTCAGCTTCAAAGACATGTCCCGTCTGGAGGAGAGTAACATAATTTTTGAGTTGGTAACAGAAATTCAGGATGAGGCATGTGTTATGGAAAAGATGGTGCACAAGGCCCTGCAGAGGCTGGCACAGCTGCTGGCAGCTGATCGGTGTAGTATGTTCGTTTGTCGTTCCCGAAATGGTATTCCAGAGGTAGCCTCCAGGATTCTTGATATCACTCCAACTTCCAACTATGAGGAGAATTTGGTGAAACCAGAAAATGAGACTGTTTTTCCTCTGGACATCGGGATAGTGGGATGGGTTGCTCATACCAAGAAGTTTTTTAATGTACCTGATGTGACAAAGGTAAGTGACTTGTCTTGGGGTGTGGGGTTCTGTTCATTTGCTTATTCAGCCTCCTGCCCAGGGCTTGAGGTAAAAAGTTGTTCTTCAGAAAAATCTCAGAGACCAGTAACATGAGAAATACATCAGCAGAGATGGCTTAAAATTCCATAGAACCACATCATATAGCCTAGTGAGGTGTTTTCAGTGTCCTTGTAGTAATTCTAATGTCAATGACTATAATAATGGAGGAGAATATCAGATTAATAGAGACCATTAAATACCCGAGTTTCTGCTGAACAAGGCAGGCTTGTATTCTGCTTTCCAGTATGGGTTTGCAAGTGTTCTCTGTTATCATTCCATGCTGCCATGCATGCATCTCTGAGTCATTTAATTTGCAGCTTTTGTAATGAAGATGTATCCTTATTAGTAAGTGAATGAGGAAAGAGAATGTCAACATACATATTCAGCTTCATGTCAGTGTTTGACTGAAAATGGGTTTGATTTTAAGTATGTCTGTATCCAGGGCTTTTGTTCAAAACTGTCTGTAGAAGAAAATTATTGAGTCAGAGCTATTCTGACATTTTTGAAGTTCCTGTTGAATCTGCACTGAATCACCTTTATTCTTTAAGGTGCTGATAAGAGTTTATTTATTATTTATTAATTTTATTTAAATCTTTATTATTATTATTTATTCCAAATGTTAATTAAAACTATGAGTGACCTAACAAAAGGTAAACATGCATGTATGAGGTTTACTTCAGAAACTGTTCTGAAATACATGGGGAAATATAAACATGCTTTGAATTTTAAGATTTCTTTAAAAATAACTAACTGTGCATCATCAAATGCTGGCATCTTCATTTCTTTTTAGTCCTATGCCAAAAATCTGAACATAATCAAGTGGTAAGATAAGATAATTATCAAGATGACAGTCTGGATTCTCAGTATTTCCTATACAGTCAATTTAAAATTCCAGAATATTTTAGAGATAGAAACCACTAGTCCTGAGCTCCATGAAAATAATCGAAGTATTTATACAGGGCAATTAACTATGTTTTGCAAGAGGTAAACAATAAATAATATATTTTATCATGGTAAAAGTTATAAAGGACTACTTTTAAAGCTCAGAATCAAATGAATATTCATATATATGAAAATAACATTGCAATATACAGTAAACTGCCTCAGATGTAAGTAGAAATCACAGGGGCAAACAGAAGACTGACTGATTTGAGAAAACAATCAGTTCATTTTCAACTGCCCACTAATACCCTTTCTTCAATGGCTGCTGTTCTGACAAGAAGTGTCTGATTTACTGCCTCTTACCACCACGTGGGGAGATTGGAGGATAATCCAAGTTCATAAGACTGATTACACGCGAAAAGATCAGGAGGATCAAGAAAGATGTGCCTCCTATCAGACACTGCACTGCTTCTTAATATCATTAAGTGAGAGGCGCCCAGAGCAGAGCTAACCAAATATTTCTGTGTTTGCAATAGGATTTGTTCAAAATTTTGTGACAAATGTTATTTATGTATGCTTAAGTAAGAGAACTTTTCTGTCCATCTGATCCTGCTAGGTGTTTTGCACTCATAAAATAATGTCAGCTGAGTATCTGTTATTATTAAATCATTCTAAGGTAATCTTTACTTAGGCACCCATTTACTCTCTTAGGATTACTGAGGTCTATGCCATTAGGCACACATTTAAAAATGCAATTCAACTATGGTCCCATTAATCTAAGTCTGGTAACTAAATATCATCAGAATATTGGCAGTTTATTAGATCATTACAAAACTCCCAGAGACTTCTCTGGGACCAAAGTCTGATATTTAAAAACAACCCTAAAGACATCAAAATGTCAGCACTGTCATTCTTTGTGTACAAAAAGTCAGTGTCCAAGTTCACACTCCTCACACGAGCAGAGCTCCCAATTATGTCACCAAAATCTTTATCTCCATAGCAAACCCAGAACTGCAGTTTGAGTCAGTAATGTTTAATGTGTATAATTAGTCTATGGCAGCAGAAATACACAGCTACTGAAGTCTTTATCACATTTCAGAAAGGATAATTATTTTACAGTTCACTACATACACACTTCAGTCAAACAAGATTGCCTGCTACCCAAATTCTGAACAAAAAATAACAGGAAGAGCTAAGCCAGAGAAGAATTTTTCCCCTAGTGCCTTGTCAGAATAAAAAATGCACAATGATTATTTCTCATTGGATACAGTACTTAAAGAAGTTACATCTAGCCACTTTTTACTGTTGACACAGGCCATATCCAAATAGCATAGTGTTTTTTAACTCTAAAGTACATGACAACATTGACAAAAGCATGGTGTGACATTTTCATGCTTCAATCATTACTGCTTTATAACAAAAGTAAATGCAATAAAAGATCACAACAGCAATAAATCATTGAAAAAAATTTGACTCTACTTTTAGTTCCTGGTAACCAGTTCTTTAGGGATTATCTCCCTCTTCTAACTGGAAAGGTACCAATAAACGTGAGGAAGCTCCTCATCCTGACTAATGCTCCAGAAAATAAAAGGGGAGGAAAAGATACAGACCTTCGATAATTAACTTAGTAGGCAGTCTCCTCCCCACAAGATTATGGACCTGTTGACTGTGAGAGCTAATAGTATTTAATCCAGGATTTAATAGCTGTGAGAAACAGAAGGCCAGGCAGGACCATTAGCCTAATAATTTGTCTCACATTATTCACAGGGTCTAGCAGAGTATATGCGTCAAATATTACAAAGTAAAATAATAGGCTGCAAAAAATTTGCTATGTCCATTAATAGGCTTTTAACAGTAACTGATAACACAGACAACATTATAAAGGAGAACACAATTACCTTACATTTTTCTCCAAGGCATTATTTCCAAAAAAAGCTAAGAACTTAAAAATAGTTCTACAAGGAGTATGTCTTTTTTTGGAGAATCAAAATCTCCCATTCTCAGCTTGTAAGAACCAATAATAAAGACTTTTTAAATTTGCTTTAATCCACAACCTATTTAAATTACTGCACTGTTCCTTTCAATTCAGAGGCATTTGAAGATAAGGATTTAATTAAGGATTGGAAATTCAAGAAATAATATTCTTCATTTTAGTTGAGTATAAAATTATAAAAATGTTGAAAAAATGCTTCAAAAGAAGTGAAGGCTTTTGGCTTAGATCTATAGAGGTGCTGAAATATTTGGATGCTGAATTATCAGTCCTCATTTCTAGAGGTCTTGCAGTGGAACTCACAACCCCCAGTGAAGTGAAGAATCAAGAGACCATTGGAGAGTCCAACTCAGATTAAGCAGCCAGAAGAGTGATTGTTGTGGCACCTAATTTAACCACTGGAAACCTATGGTACAAATCAACTTAAACACATCTTCAAGTTGCAAGCATTGGTATCATCCATTCGTAAGCTGATCCAGCTTCAGAACAGCAGCTCTCCACTTTAACCCAAGAATGGGAGAGACTTTAATTCCACGCCTGTCTAAACTGACAGCAGTTTCAGATTAATGTGGATGTTCTTGTCCCCAGACTCCAGGCTGTCTGAGGTAGCTTTTTACATGGAAGAATATGCACTGCAACTGTTAATGTCTGCTCCTCCATTTTATCTCATCTTGATAATAAACACCAGATTATCAGAAACTCATACTCAACAAATATTTACTGGAAAAATGGAAATGTTCCAGTCTTCTATAATGGCAAAGATTTAGTTGATTTACTAGAAAATATTTTAGCACAGGAGAAAATTTCTATTAATTGTGCCTTCCAGAAGAAAACCCCAACCAATTATTTCCTTTAGTTACTATTCTAAGAGGAAAGTTTCCAAAACGGAAGAAAAAAAGTATATTAAAAATTAAAATTAAAATTAAAAATTAAAAGCTCCCTTTTATCTAATTTTCTTGTTTCATGTAAAAAACCAATATAATACAGTTCCAATTTCTAAAAGTTGCAAAATAGTCACTACTGTGGCAAATAACAAGCAGGCATGTCAGTGACATAACTGAAAAGTTCAACCCCCAAGTGCTGTTAAATATATATTAATTTCTCCTTGATTCAGTTTCAGAACTCTAGTTAATAAAAAAGTCAATTTGTTCTGCTCTTGAAATTTAGATTCCTTACAATATGTAGGTTTTGGAGTGTGGGCTAAGAAAGGGCCAGATAGATGGTAGTATGTGCTTTTTATTTTCTATTCATACTCAATTATATCATTGTGAAACAAAAACATTTGTGACTTGAAATTAGGCTAAGTAGAAGTGATGAAGCATTATAGCACATTAATACCATCTATCAAGTAGTTAAAATTTCTGAGACAATGGAAGACAATCAGTGGAAGAAGAAAATATCAGGAAGAGAAGAAAATACTGTAGAGCAACCAGAAAGAAATGTAGAGATAACGCAAAGGAATATGTGCAGTCTGAGCTCATCTATCCAACACAGAACCTCCCACCCAATAGGAGCAAAATAGTCACAACTGCAAGGGGTCACAGTAACCCCTTCTTCCTCTGTGCTTTACAAGGGCAAAGAGGTGGACAAAAACAGGCATCTGCTGTCTTGGCCCTGTCACCTCACCTGCAGGATTAACTCTTATCCCTTGTTGTGTTGGGTCACTCCAGCCACAGGCAGCATTGCAGGGAGGAGTGGCTGGAAAGCTGCCTGGCAGAAAAAGACCTGAGGGTGCTGATCAACAGTAGCTGAACATGAGCCAGCAATGCCCAGATGGGCAAGAAGGCCAAGGGCATCCTGGCTTGGATCAGAAACAGTGTGGCCAGCAGGACCAGGGCAGAGATTGCTGCCCTATACCAAGCACTGGTGAGGCTACACGTCAAATCCTGTATCCAGTTGTAGGCCCCTCACTACAAGAAACATATTGAGGTGCTGGAACATTCCAGAGCAGGGTGACAAAGCTGAAGGAGGATCTGGAACACAAGTCCTGTGAGGAATGGCTAAAGTATCTGGGGGTGTTGAGCCTGGAGAAAAGTAGGCTCAGAGTGTCTACAAATCCCTGAAAGGTGGGAGTCAGCCTCTTCTCCCAGCTAACAAATAATAGGATAACAGGAAGCGGTTTCAAGTTGTGCCAGGAGAGGTTCAGATTGGATATTAGGAAATATTCTTCCATCAAAAGGGTTGTGCTAGCCGGTCATGCTAGCTTGGTGCTGGAGCTGGCTTCCTGCAAATCCAGGATATGTTGCATATCTCAGGATCTATTTAAAGAACTGATCATTGTATAATAAATGGCTTGGTATCTCAGCATTAAGTGGAGCTAGTAGGAAATGGCTGCAAATATACTACAGTTAAGCAGTTAGCAGCAGATTTCCTTTCCATAATTTCTCTTTCAAAGCCTATTTTATGATTTAACTGAGAGCTGAAAGTTCAAAACATTGCTCTAAAAGATAGTTTGATTTATAAGATCAGGCTCAAGTAGACTAAGTCCACATTGATGTAGTCATGGAGGCAACAAGATGTTGTTCTGGCTCTGGTACTGCAGACCATGTTTCTTGCTTATTTGTCTATGAATATGATTTCTTAGATATTGTTAAAAGTGATTTTCTTCATAAAAAAGAAAGAGCTTATGTTCCCAAGAGAAAATATTTTTAAAACTCTGTTGGAAATAAAGGCTTCAAAACACCTAGAAATTATGTATAAAATATTTAATAATGAAAAGGCTAAATCTAAGCACAATGTTTTGCTTATATATGCAAATAATGTGAGACAGGAGTCTTTGTATGTGTTGTGGGAATGCTGCCAATGCATTAGAAGGTATTTTTATCTTTCTGCTTCACACTACCTAGGCACAGGATGGCTTGTGGTTACTGAACTTTCTGTTTATTAACAGAGACTTGTATTAAAATATTTCTATCCTTTGCAAAAAATGCACGACAAAAATGCTTCTGAACACTTCTGATCACCACTGCTTGTACCTTTTTTCTGGAGTTATTAAACAAAGTAAGACATAGCAGCTGAATCCTGCTGATTCAGCTCATTTGCTGTCTACAGATCCCTTTTAAGTATTCAGAAACCCAGGAGCATCTGAAATGTTTGTTTATTCCTTCAGAGCAGAGTACAGTACCCTAAACCCAGGAATCTGGGCCTTGCCAGGAACACTAGATGCTCTTAGTGACACAGAGGGACTACAAGACAGGGTCAAGTTATCAGTCTGATTTACTGGGTTTTCAATAGCTAAAACAGTCAGAAACACAAAACCTGAAGCTCATAACCACACCCAAGTCCAGAATGGTTGTGTCAGTAGATAATACATCCTACAGAAAAACGAATATTTCCACGTAATAACATAATTGTTTAGCAGGCTGCGGGACAGTATTTGATTCTTACACAGTAGAGACAGATTACCTGGCATTTTCTCTGGATGTCTGTTAAATTATATACTCCTATACCTTTGTCTGAGAAAACCAAAAAATAACAACTTAGGGAGTTTGTTGGAAACTGACACAGCACCCCCTTTTCACTTGGAAAATATATTCAAAAGTGGCTACACTTCCCAGAGATCTAAATAGAGCCTGCTACATCGAATGACATTTCTAGGGATGACACAGGCTGTCCTTAAGGGAATAAATTCTCTGTAAAGAGAGCCCAGGGCATAAATACAATATTTAAGAGTTACTTCCAGACATTTAATTTGTTCCACTGAAATGCAGCCCTAGAAGGAAATATAAAATGCAAACATAAAAGATGGACTGCCTAAAGACTATGAAAAACAAGGAAAAAGCCCAAATCCTAATATTTTGATGACATAATAAAATTCTTTCTTTTTAGAGTTGTATATGCTATAAATTCAACATATACTAGAATGAAGAGAAGAAGACTATACTAGACTGAAGAGGTGTTGCAATACAACAAAGAGGGGCAAAAGGAAATTAAGAGGAAAAATCTAAACTTTAGAAACAAACAATTTTAGTTCTGGCATTTCCAAGCATTGTCATGCTTGATTTTACAACCTAGAAAAAGCTTACTTGTTTGGGGTTTTGTTCAAGTAGCTTTATGTGTAATCTATGAAAGCTGAAGTTCCATTTTGTGGCATCCTGCAACAAACATTCTCCGGCCTATCAACAAGGAAGACACCTTGGGATGCACCACGCAGATCTCCGCTGCCTAAGCTAATGTAGTAATGAATAGTAGCAATATTTACCAGCTCTGGGAATAGACATGCAGTGTAAGTGGGTTGAGTGCTCATCTCTGAAGAAGTTTGAGTACTGGCAGGTTAGCAGTGAAATGTGAGGGGATGGAAAAAGCTCCATGAAGACAGCGTCTGGCTCTTTTAGCTGCTTAGTAGAACGGCATTTCTCAATATGCACATATCAACAGATTCCAAACATCCAACTTATACCTTACCTCACTCAGATGCATTTTCTTAATAACATAACAGAATATAACAATCTTGACAAACAGGTTTCTCTGAAGATGCTTAAACCCTTTTTATTAAATTAAAAAGAACACTAAAGCCTTTGAAGAAAACACCAAGAATTTGGATGTGTTCTCCATGAAGCATGAACTAGCTTCCCAATATTTTTACATTAAAAAATTAAAAGAATAGCTTTTGCTAAACCCTCCTCAGCATTTGGTTTTAAGGATGAAAATGTAAATATGGAGGAGTGAGTTGTGGCTTATTCATTAGTCACATGGTTTTATTCCCACAGGATCACACACTCAACAAAAGCAGCTCTATGTCCTATATCCTATATCCTATATTTATATCCTTTCCTTTAACTAAAAGGGCTTGTAGAGCTGGGAGCAACAGGGATGGAAGTGTGTCAGACAGGAAGGAATAAGAAACAGGTCAGCCAGATGAATACTTGCTGGGGATGCTTCTCTGCCATAAGTATTTGTATACAGGACAGGAGGTACTTCTAAATATTGTATGAGGGAAATACATAACGAATTTTATTTACCAAAATAAACAAATAATAATAAATATTAACATAGCTATGAAGTAATTCTCTAAAATGCAAGCCATATATATTAGATTAATAGGTAGTCGCAAGGTCATATTATTATATTTCATTTATTCTTTATTTATTCTGAAAATATTCTCATATTTTTAATTCCCTCAGCATTATAATAACAACCTGCACAGAACTTGGTTTCAGAAGCTATCTTCATAACCAATGCCTCAGTTAGGCTTGTACATATAAATCTGCAAGACTGAGTTAAGTAAGGATAATGGGGTTTTTTCAAAACTGTGAAATGGTGCTCACAGAATTGCAAACATCAGTTATCAAATGAAATGATAATTTGCTGTTGGCATGGTAATTGTTGTGCATTTAACTTGTGATTTTTCCCTTTTCTTTCAGAACAACCATTTTTCTGACTTTATGGACAAAAAAACTGGTTATAAAACAGTCAATATGTTGGCAACTCCAATTACACAGGGTAAAGAGGTGCTTGCTGTTGTGATGGCACTCAACAAATTAAATGCCCCTGAGTTCTCAAAAGAGGATGAAGAGGTAAAATGTCACATAGTAATACAGCTTTTAGTTCAACAAGTAGTTTGAGTGACTCCATATCTTAATTTAATACTTTTGTCTTATTTTTGATCTTTGTCATTTTTAGGTATTTAAAAAATACCTCAACTTTGTATCTTTGATGGTAAGAAATAATCACACGTCGTATCTCTACAATATCGAATCACGAAAAAGCCAGGTATAGCAGCATTTTTTAATAAAAACATTTCATTTTTCTCTGAAACAATTATCATTCCCACTGTTTTATATTCTTGCAATTTTATTGATGCAAGAATACAATCTATTTATTCTTTTTTAATTTGTAAACAGTGATGCACCTTATAATTTCACTCTGGAATGCCTAGGATTCATATTTTTATGTTTTCTTACTGTTCTGAACACTATCCTCTTTCTCTTTTATTGTAAATAGATGCTTTTGTGGTCTGCCAACAAAGTATTTGAAGAACTAACAGATATAGAACGACAGTTTCATAAAGCACTGTATACTATTCGAATGTATTTGAATTGTGAAAGATACTCTGTTGGTCTGCTGGACATGACTAAAGAGAAGGTAACAACTATTTTTCCTACTAGCTAGAAACTCCTAACATGAAGTCTCCAAGGCACAAAGTTACCATGCTTTCTAATTATTTTTGATAATTTATATAAAATCTAACAATGTTACAAAGATTACATGCAAAATATAAGTATGGCAAAGGATACAACCAAAATAAAAATAAAGGTAATTCTGAAAAACTTTTTCATATGCATAATTCCATGTGAGAAAGGGTAGAGGTACAGGTCTGATTATTGCTTTAGAAATATCTACCTGCTAAAACAACTACGCTGTGCAAATGTTTAGGGATAAGATTAGCCTGCAATTTGCTGGCAAACATCTCTTGTCTGGAATATAATCACCAATGTTTTCTTAAAATTATCTGAAATATGACCGTAGTAAACTATGTAGAAATAAAAATCAAATTGAATACACAATGTGATGTTATCTGTGAATACAGAACTGATTTGGTTTTTTTCCTTTTTCCCTGTATATCATTTTCTCAGGAGTTTTATGACGAGTGGCCAATCCGGCTTGGGGAGGCAGAGCCTTACAAAGGCCCCAAGACACCTGATGGACGAGTGAGTATATTAATTTTTCTTTCTGTGAATCTTAAGTTTGAGATTGAAGTTGTACAAGTCACCTAGATGTTTTTATATTTTTATTTAGGAAGTCAACTTCTATAAGATTATTGACTATCTGTTACATGGACAAGAAGAAATCAAAGTCATTCCGTGAGTATTCATCGGCAGCTTGTGAATCTGTGGTAATTAAATATTGCTGGGATAGAATAGCATGTCTACATTGTAGAAATAAATTAATTTCATTATCTCTCAAAAGGTCACCTCCAGCTGATCACTGGTGTCTTGTCAGTGGATTGCCAACATATGTTGCTGAAAATGGTCTTGTAAGTTCATAGCAAAACTAAAAACTAGCATTTTAAATCATGTAGTTGTTCTGATTGAACAAAAAATCCCAAAAACCTCCCCACAACCAAAATTCTCTACAAAAATACCATGATACTTCTTCCAGTATTTCACTTGGTTCCCAGTGAAATAATTTAAGTCAGTATTTTGGATGGAGACAAGGCCACAGCACAAGTGGTGAAAACAGCAGGATAATTTCCCTAAGATTGTGGTGATATCAGAGGAATAATATATGTGTCTGATGTCACTTTCTAGGTGTGCTAAAAATGTCAAAGTAAGAAAATCATCACATGAAAGGTTTTGAATTTTTCTTAATTTCCTATATCCTCTTTCATAGACATACACAATTCAAAGTCAGGATGTATGACAGCTATGAGTAACCATGTGGCATTTTTAATAGAGCCCTTAGGACTTAATTATTTCTGTCTAGAAACCCCCATGCCATTTTAAACTGGAAGTGATTTTCTTAACCATTATGCCTTTGCACTGTGAGACATTGCTACAAACATTCCAAAATTATGTCTGCTAGAATAACCACATCTAATTTAAGTGTAATGGTTTTAGTTTCTGTACTTAGCTAGGATGCTTACTACTGTTAGCTTAGAAAATAAATATTTCTTTTAAAAATATTAGACCAAGTTTTGATGCAAATTATATTCCATTTAAACAATGTGTAATTTTCCTTATGCTGCAGATTTGTAATATGATGAATGCACCAGCAGATGAATACTTCACATTTCAGGTAAATTCAGTAATGTTAATAACTAGAAATATTGTAGAAAAATGTTCTAGTGCTTGTCACTAATTGGTTATACAGTAGATTGTATAAATAATTTCTCATTTGATTGTGATGCACAAACAAAATATTTTTGTTACATTGCTTATGTTCATAGCTGTATTATTACTTTCAAAGAAATACACATTTCTTATATTTTGGTTTTCCTACAGAAAGGACCAGTGGATGAGTCTGGATGGGTTATCAAAAATGTCTTGTCATTGCCTATTGTCAACAAAAAAGAAGAAATTGTGGGAGTTGCAACTTTTTACAACAGGAAAGATGGAAAACCTTTTGATGAGTATGATGAACAGATCACTGAAGTAAGCTTAATAGGATTAGAGGGTTTGAGGAGCTATGTAATGTTAAAAAAAAATACTGCAGTAAAAAGTAATTTTTATATGTCAAAAGTTTTTCAAATAGGCCATATTAACATCTAACCAAGTCTTTACAATGCAGTTTCTTACAAATCTGAGATTTTATTTCCCTTTATAAAACTGAAAATTTTTGAGTCATCATTTACATTCCAGTGATGAAGAAAAGTTGCTTATAATTTTACTTTTAATACTTTGACTTCTTATTGATGGTCAGCATCACCTAAGTAGCAGGTGTGGTGTGCTGCTTGCCAATGGCTGCCAAGTCTGTGATCATGGGAGTTCACAGAGCATTCATAATCACATACACTCAGACAAGATAAGATGCTGCACAGTGTACCCAAGTCCACCCACCTGACTTAAGCTTCATAAGCCTCAAAGTCCTGTATATAAAATGGGAATATTAATTACTTAATTACTAGGCTGAGGCAAACATCATTAGAAGCTGTGAGCGCTAACAGAACCGGCTGAAGGAAGATAAAGGCCTCCAACAAGTAGAGTAGCACCTTGCTTTTCAAATTATACTACCAGAAATGGGACTTTAAGAAAACTAAGTTCAAATTGTCAGGTTCTGTTGTCATGGCATCATCTCTGCTTTACTTGACTTTGTTGCAGACTCTCACACAGTTCCTGGGTTGGTCTGTTTTAAATACTGACACTTACGACAAAATGAACAAACTTGAAAACAGGAAAGACATTGCTCAGGAAATGCTTATGTACCAGACAAAGGCCACCCCTGCTGAAGTTGAATCTATCCTGGTAAGTTTCTGTCCACAGCCACAAAATTAAAATGGGAAACTTACAACACAAAACCTGAGTTTTCTTATTCTTTTTTGTTTTTAGAAATACAAGGAGAAATTAAATGCAAAAAGTTTAGATGAATGTGATCAAAAGGATCTCATCAGGATTTTGGTAAGTCATCAAACTGAAAATTCTGGTGGTGTATTTATATCAGACAGTAATGTATTCTCATATAGAAAAGGCTGTATATGGTGAAATCCTGGTTAATACAATCAATATTAGCTATCAGTTCCACAGACTAGATGGAGTTGATTTAGTAACACATCCTCAACATCTGCTCTCCTGCTATGCTACAGACCGCACCGCTACCTACAGGGAAGCATTCTGTCCCAAATGTACATCAAGACACTTGGGCAGTCAGAGTTACATAGACATTTTTATGCTAATTAACATGTAAAGTGTTAAATTTATTAATATAGTCATAGGGAAAATGCTGTATCTATAACTGAGTTTAATTTATTTAATTCTGAAATTAAAGAAGGAATAGTGTGGTGAGGCCACTTTCATTCTCAGTAAGAGAATGTAGGAAGGACTGTCCAGTGGAACAAACCTTCCATTATTTTTCCTGCATTTCTGTAAGCAGAGAAGTCTAAAGACAGTGACCCATGACTCCACAGTGGCAAACCAGATTTGACCTAATGTGTTCTCTGCTCTACTACTCTGCTGCTACTAAAACAAAAATGAGTTTGTAGTGCAGTCCTCTGGCTGCCTTAGTATTTCAACCTAGAAAAGCAGTGTCCTTGGAAGAAAGCTCCTATTTTTGCACATTTAGTGCACTTCAGCAGTCCTGAAGCATATGAATTGGCCTACTTTATTTGAAAAAACCTCAAATTCAGAGAAAAGCTGTGCTCTGAATGAAAACACTGAATGAACTTCCACTGTTAATGGATCAAAACAGAGCTAAGTTGAAGAAAAAAGGTTAATAGACACAAAACAATATACAAATATAATACAAATACACAAATCAAAATACACAAATCTGTTGACTTCCAGTACCAACCACTTCATGTATTTCCTACTATTACACCACATTGGCTAATGTACACATAGCCACAGGGAAAAGATTTCATGAAACTCTTTTTTAGTTATGTATATGTGCATGCTGGAACCCATTGGTGTGAATGTTTTACTGGCTTCCACACAACAGATGCTCACACAGCTTGCAAGTGGTGAAATAAAAAAACATCAACAGACAGTGTGTAGCTTCACATGCCATTTAAAGGAAATTTAATTTAGCAGCATGAAAATCTTCAAAAAATAATAGACATTATAAAATTTCTCCACGGGTAGAGCAAAATCTGATTATTTTGATACAGGCTCCAAATTAAAAAACTTAACACTGGTATGAATTTTTAAATCTACAAAAAGCAATTTGTTCTTTCAACATTGTGGAGTCACAAAGTCAAAGGTCTAATATCTTCTGCTATGCCAAGGCCACATGCAAGTGCTTTATCCTATTATAAGACCTGGAATCCCAGATAACTAATAGGATAAAACAGGTGTTTGTAGATCTGATGAATCACCAAGTAATGGGTCTTAAAACAACACTGGTCTAGGTTTCTTTGTCCTTGGTCTCAGATCTGGGTAGATATAAAGGAAAAACCCAGGGAGAAGGAAAGGGATGATCAGCCTTATTTGTTGAAATATATGCATACATTCAGTCATCTTTTTTCTTTCTCCATAAAGTGAAGATCATTTATAGACTACTGAGGAGGAAGAAAGTCATTGTGATAATATAAGCTATTTTTTGTGTTGCATCAGACTTGAAGAATTCTTGTTTGGGTTGGAGCACATTCTTTAAAATACGATGCTGCTCTCCCTAGGCTTTGGGGGAGATGAAGAGTGTTAGTGAAGAGTTCACTAATTGCACTATTACCAGTTAGGCTATTCAATGTGAATCTATATCTTATATACAAAATAGGAAAATTAATTTTCTTGAGAAAAGGATGAATGTTTTAGCTTTGAGATTATGCTAAAAGTGGGAGAATCGTGGGATTTTATATCAGGGAAGAGAATTTCCAAGGACCAAGATTTCTAAACTAAGAAAATGTTGAGATGGTCGCAACCCATTGTGTTGGAATTCAGGGTAGGAATTTCCCAGGGCTTTTATTTATTAATTTTGAGAAGAAAGCCAGCAGTATTCTGATTGTACTTCATAATTTAATACACATCAGTTCAGACTGACACCTGAGGACTTTGAAGACATAGTAAGCATACTGTCCTTGAGCATTATTTTTACTGAAGGAAATTAAAAAAGCTTTTCCAACTTTGTTCCTGACAGAAAACCTCTTGTTTTTTGATATTTCCTAACAGAAAGAAGAACTACCCGATCCGAAAGATTTGGAACTGTATGAATTCCGCTTCAGTGACTTCCCTGTTACAGAGCATGGCCTGATAACTTGTGGAATACGACTGTTCTTTGAGATAAATGTTGTTGAAAAATTCAAAGTCCCGGCTGAGGTCTGGTTTATTTTTCTTGTTTATATTTACTTCTAAGTAGAAGAAAAATAGCTGGTTTACATACTTTAATCTAGAAGTAGGCAATACTAAAATATTAATGGTATGGTTAACAATTTTCCATTCTCAATGAAACATTTACATATTTGTCATAAAAACATAAAATTAATCCCGAATTGTGTAAGCTAGGTAAGGAATTAAATCCATATGCATCTATTAAAGAAAAATTTGCTGTTTCCATGTTTAATTCAATGGAAAACATTTGTTTTCAATGAACTTGTGCAGTTAAGTAAATTAATAGTATATTCTAGTTATTTAATGTGAATTCTTTGTTCTGTTTCAATTAACAGCTATCTGACTCCCTTTTGTTCCCAATAGGTCCTTACAAGATGGATGTACACAGTCAGGAAAGGTTATCGGGATATCACTTACCATAACTGGAGACATGGATTCAATGTGGGACAAACAATGTTTACTCTGCTGATGGTAATGTTGCTAATATTAACCCCAAATTCATTAATTAGCATTTGTTCAACTCCAGATGGAAATTCAGGAAGACACATGCTCAGAGTTACCTGTTTTCTCTTACAGACAGGCAAAATAAAGAAATACTATACAGATTTAGAAGCCTTTGCCATGGTTGCTGCTGCTTTCTGCCATGACATTGATCACAGAGGGACCAATAACTTGTATCAAATGAAGTAAGTATAAGTGATCAAATATATAGAAATGTACTACTTTTAGTGGCAAACAAACAAAAAATGTCAACACTTGCAAAAAAATAAGGTTTATATTCCATACTCATCTGGCATGAATAATTATGCTACAGAAGATTTCTTCCCTAGAGCACTTCAGGCAGTTGAAACACAAAGACAAAATGCCAAGGCAGAATCTTAGAAGTATCACCCAAAGCTGCAATCCATTTTTAAGACTGTAGATTTTTAGAACTCTAGCAATGCTTGGATTGTAGCAGACAGAGTCTCATGAGCATGAGGACACAAAGAAATTAGTAAAGTAAATTAAAATCCATAAATGGATTACTTTTTCAAGACAGGGCATAAGCACTTTTCTGGAGAGGGATTCAAGATGTGACATAGACAATGGCCAGTTTAGAGGGAGACAGATTTTTTTCTGTTTCCCACTGTCTAATTTGACTAGTTCAGTTTTTCTTCCCCACACTCAGTTTCCTGATATAGGTCCTCTCCTGAGGTGTAATCTCTTCACATTATACGAAAGAAAGTCTGAGTCAACAAGCTTGAGTTCTACTGCTGGGTCCACAGGCCCAGAAGTTATACCTCATGAGGTTAAAGCTTTGCAATTCATGCTGTAATATGTTCTGAGAAAATATGCTAAAGGATTTCTTTGTGATTTTTACCTTGTTTGTTATGAAGCAATATTAATCCATTTTTATTTTCCTTTGTATTAAAACATTATGTATCATGGTGAGACCCATTCTCCTGAGAAGTGAACATCCTATCATTTAGTCTTTCATGTGATCTGTAGGGCTTGTTTCCATGTGCTAGCCAGAGAACACATGCTTCTCAGAATGTCATGTATACCAGAAGATTATAATTTTCTGGCTAGTTTACACCAGCTGTATCTCCAGAGTGATTGATCCTTCCCCCCTGACCCTGAATCCACTCCTCACATTTCAGCCTTTTCAGACTGTGCTAGAGCAGTGACGCACAGGGATTTTCTGATTATTCCCAGGGATTCTCCAGGTGACGTAGGAAAGAGAATGACAGATGCTGATTCTTATTCAGTGGACTGCCTCTCATCCAAACAAGTTTAGGGGGGGGGTGTCGTGGGTTGGGTTTAAATCTTTCCACTGTGGTCTTCCCTAGATGAAAACCCTCTACATGTGGTCATACGCAGTAAACCTATTTATAGAACTCATCAGGATTTACCACGACAGTCCTAATCACATCAGAATATACAAGCGCCATATAGTAATCCACCTTGGGTTATCTGGGAAACAGAGCTATAAACCAAGGCAAAAAGGAGGAAAATGCACTTCCAAACATGTAGAATTACTTGGAGCCCATGTAGGTAGGATGCTTCTCCCTTCATCTCACAACCATACTCTGATGCAGAATTTCCTCTTCCTGAAGCTTAGTCCAATGTCAGGAACACTTTAAGACCTGTGGTAAAACTGAGCAAACCTGAGCTACCAGGGTTTTGCTGTTCATAAGATGGATAAAGGCTACTTTTAAGGTGCATAAAAGGACAGCAAAACTGAACATGCAGGATAAAATAAAGGCATATTTTAAATACCAAAATTTTTGAGTTTTGAGGTATATAACAATGACTTTGATTTTCGTGGGCACTGAACATGCAGTGCCTTCCAAGTTCCATCATTACACAGTCACAAAAATGAAGGGAAGCAAGTTGTTTTTTTTCTCTGCATCACACCAATAGCTAATGTATACAGATTACATTATCATACCAATAATATGAAACCTGATTAAAAACTATTGCCTTCAAATTGTATATATATGTTATACTCTAAGGAATTGCTTATTTTTCCACAGGTCAGCTGCTCCCCTGGCAAAACTTCATGGCTCTTCCATTTTAGAAAGGCATCACCTAGAGTACAGTAAAACCCTGCTGCAAGATGAGGTATGTCATGGACCTTCTGCTCATGCCAATCAACACTGATTAATTAGATCCAATCAAGTTCAATGTTCCAAATTTCACTGGGTCTCATGCATTTCTCTAGGTCCACATCAGAAATGCTAAAATTCAGAAGTTTAAGCCAAATTCTTATGCATTTTCCACTTTTAGAGAACCATTAGTGATTCTGTCTGGAACAGATTAACCTCAGATAGAAAAGCTTTTCTGGGCCTCACTCACACTCAGGTTTTTTCTGTTTGCACAAAACAGCTGATGTTGAAATCAAAGCAAAAAATACAATATATATACAAAATCTTATCATTAAACGGCTGTGCCTGGTTTACGAGTTCTGAATTCAGCTGCAGGCTTTGACAGCCGATGAACAAAAGGACCATGTTCAAGGAGGGCCTCCTTGCCCTCAGGTCAGGCCCGCCGCGCACCCTCCCTGGTCAACAGGGCCGGAGTGTGGCAGCTCCACCGCTCTGGGCAGCCGCCCCAGCAGCCGTGTCCGAGCTGCTGTGTCCCAGCTACCCTGTCCCAGCTGCCGTGTCCCAGCTACCCTGTCCCAGCTGCCGTGTCCCAGCTGCCCTTCCCAAGCAGCGGGGGTGACGCTCCCACCGCATCCTCAGGCTCAGCTGCCCCTCAGGGTCCTGCTCCTCCACTGGGCCCCGGTCACCCTGCCCTCAGCGGCGTCAGGCTCTGGCCCGGCTACAGCAAAGGCCACTATTTACACTTTCTACCATGTATTTTGCAGGGTGATTTCACAGCAGGGCATGCACACATGCACTCCTTGTTTGCAGCACGACAGGCACTCACTTCACCCTCATTTTCCACTTCAGTCCCTGTGGTGGTGCTGCTGCTGCCTCACGTCACGAGGCCACGAAATAAATCCTTGCGCTAAGCAGCAGCACTGTCTTAATAAAAATCCTAATAGGTTTATGATATAAAAACAAAGACTTTTCGCTTTATTGATGGCAATGTACCTTTTCAAATGGGAGATGCCAGGGACTGACTCCTGCTCTCGGGCAGAGCAGCTGGCAGGACCTCTGGAGGCTCTCACCAGCAGCACCGCTGTGCCCTGGCTCACGCAGGCCTTGTACCTCTGTTAAAGAAGGAAATAAAACCGAGACACTTAGAAAAATGCTGTATGATGGTCTCATTCCCTCTGCCTGAAGAAAAGGACATTGCACGTACCATGGTAGGACCCATACACTGCTGCAGGCACTGCCAACCCAGTTTAACAGGAAGAAAGGGGAACTGGGTAACTAAAAAGTCAGGAAAATTAGGGTAATGGAATGTAAATTTTTAATTTTTATAATTATTTTAATTTAAGAATTGTAGTTGGCCAATCCAGTTGTTACCCTATTCTGTGAGACAATCTGTATAGTACAAACCAAACACAGTGTTATAAAAGGAATTGAAATCCTAAACTTTCCACCTTGCAGAGTTTAAACATCTTCCAGAACCTAAATAAGCGCCAGTATGAAACCGTTCTACACTTATTTGAAGTTGCAATAATAGCAACTGACTTGGCTTTGTATTTCAAGTAAGTACTAAATTCTGTATAACTTCCTACTGAAAAAAATCAATGATATGAATGTATAACTGTAGTTCTTTGTTTTTTATATGCAGCATAAAAGATGTTTATATGCAGAGAACAGGGCTCTATTTAATATTGCCATTGAGTCTAATTATTGCAAAAAACAAGACATTCTTAGTTTGATTATAAGCTTTCGAATTAGAATGCATGAATGTATATAACACTTAGTAGGTAATACATTGAGTAGGTAATTCCAATATACTTTTAGTTACAGCAAGCACTATATTCCAGAAGAGTGTGTTCAGTAGCCAAATCATAAGGTTGTGTACATGTGTGATATTTAACATACCATGCAACAGATACTCAGAGTCAACAGGAGCATGCTGAAGATTAGAAAAAACCAGCAGACATCCACTGATCCCAGTGCTAAATATGTCAAAGACTCCAGATATCAAACTATCAATTCTGTTCGTAAGTTAGTGAATTAACATGCTTTAATAATGGTTATCTTCCTTAAAGATAGGTGGAGACTTTTGTTTTATGACTGGGATATTTAAAGTCAGAAGACAGGTAAAAATTCAGGAAATTGTTTAATAGCAGTTATTAGGATTTAGAGAATAGTAATTCCATTATTTCATTCATTATAAGCACAAACTAGAAGACTAATGAAGCAATAGCAAGACAGGCTTATAATTTTCAAAGTTCTTTTCAGTCAAGTCTTAGTAATTCTTAGAATTTTTGATGGGAGGGAGTAGCAGAGCATCTATTAGTATCTGCTTCACTTTTCCCAATTTGGTATGTTACAGGAAGTAACAAACATGTAATGCTAAAAATTGAGAATGTCACCCCAAAGAGTTTAGTCTGAAGAGGCAGGAAATTGGTTACTTGTTTCTTTGTCAGGAACTCTGACATATTACTTCACATGTCAGTGCTATGTAGCAAAATCAAAGTGTCTAGGTTACCTAAAATGTTTGCATTCAACAGCAGGAAAGTATTACCTTGATAATATTATGACTAGGATGGTACTTGGGAAAAGAACAAATATCATAAATATGATTTTATATTTCATTTTTAATGCAGGAACTCACATTCAGTAATATATGCTTTATTGGTTTGTTTTAACAGGAAAAGAACTATGTTTCAAAAGATTGTGGATGCAATTGAAAAAATGGAAACAGAAGAGCAGGCAATTAAGTATATATCTATTGACCCAACGAAAAAAGAAGTCATCATGTAGGTGGTTAATATTTTACTCCTTATTCAATCAATTATCTAGGACTTGATTTGGGAACCTGGACATGCAAATTTGGACCTAGTGTTGCTGTCCAATGACGAGCATAACCATGATTTAAATTTAGAAACTGATGTCTGTAATCTTCTTAAAATGTCCAAAATATTAATTCATTTAGTATCTTAAATTCCTTAAATCTAGACCTTTTATTTTTTTTATAATCTCTCTAGCATTGGATAGTTAGGGACCTCTGAAGTTCTTCTACCCTTAATGGATAATTGTTCTTCCTCATGTGGAGGTGGAACCTCTTGTGCTTTAGTTTACTGTCATTTCTCCTCCCCCTGTTGCTGAGCAGCACTGGAAAGAGTCTGGTACCATTCTCCTGACACCCAAAACTATACTCATGTTTTGGTTTTTGTTTGCAAAGGGCTATGATGATGACTGGATGTGATCTGTCTGCAATAACCAAGCCCTGGGAAGTGCAGAGTAAGGTAGGCACTTTTGAAGTAGACAATACTGCATTTACTCTCTGTTTTATTGCCTATTTGGTGCATGATCAATTAAAAATATTAACCTTTTATTACTTGATACATATTTAAGTACCTGTTGCTTCCAGAAAAGAACTTCTACCTTTTTGTCACTGTGAGTGTAGGAGGTCAATGATGTCTCTACAGTTGCCAACCTTTCTCTACTTGTCCTTGACTAAAACTGGCACCGCTAATTCTGGCAGCTGTTATAGCTACCCTTAAATATCACTCAATTATTTCTCTGCTGGACAACTTCTACTACTTTCCAGCTATTTTTAAGATTTAACAGTATGGTTTGAATTGTATTTATTCTGTAGATCTTGGTGCCATTAAAAAGCAGCTTAAACACACTTAAATTCTGTGACAATACGGAGTGGTACATAAGTACTTCAAGTACTCCAGTATTTATTGACCATCCTGATGAAGCTCATCACTTAGCCTTACAGGAATATGTTTTAACAAAGCATAATCAAAACACAACTGCAAATACTTGTTCTTCTAAGTTATACACATTACAGGTATTACAAGAATCTTATGTTGTAATCTTGCCTTGTTTTTGTCGGAAATAATGTGTTATTTACTCAACATGCATCAAAATATTGCTACTGATAATATGCTGGGAAAAGCCTTAAGTACTGCAGACAGTGTCTGTAGGTTTTTTCACTTTTCTGGAAAGCCTTATATTATTTATTTAAATATACTACTTTCTGCTGACAATTCCACTGAATTGTACTTATTCAGGTTGCCCTCATGGTTGCAAATGAATTCTGGGAGCAAGGTGACCTGGAAAGAACTGTGCTACAGCAACAACCTATTGTAAGTACTAAATAATTTAACTGTGTTAAGCAATATTAACTGTTACTAAAACACTGAATAAATAATGAACCATGATGCTTATGACTATACCAAAAAGCACAATATCTACATATTCTAAATTACTGCTCTTCTGTTCTAGCCTATGATGGACAGAAACAAAGGAGATGAACTACCTAAGCTCCAAGTTGGTTTCATAGACTTTGTGTGTACATTCGTGTACAAGGTAAGAATAATTGGTTTTGTTTTCCTGTTCTAGCACTTCTGATGGCACAAGATGTTGCAGTAAAAACTTCTAGACAGCAGCAGTATTCTCGGTCTCAGGGTGAACGATTATCACAACCAACATAATTTTTCAGTATTTTGTTACATCAAAGAATTGTTCCCATAGAGTAAATTCAAGAGACGTGAAGCAAATTCATGAAAAAGCAAGATCCCCATGAAACTTCAGGGTTCTAAGGTTTTGTTAGTGCCTTGAGAAAGTTACAAAGTCCAGCTTGATTCTTCCCAGACCCATTTAATATAAGCAAGCAATGTGGATGCTTACAGAAAGCAGTAAATAGCACAGCAAAGGGAATAGGAATATGCAATATTTGGGGCATGTAGATATGCTGTCTCTTCTGTAAGGCACTGAAATGTCCACATTCCTAATCTCTGTCTAGTTTTTAATATTACCCAAAAATGTCAGGCAACAATGTGACGTGATTTTTAACAGCTTCCGAAATATTGTCTTTTTATTGGAACATATTACAGGATAACAGACTTTTTAATTGTATCCTGATACTGATAATCATATGATAAAATATCCCGTATCATAGCTGTATTATATGAGTCAGTCTATCATATGTGGGATGAGGGAGCATATTAAAATCTACAGCATATAATTCCAATATTTTCCTAACAGACTATGTGCACAATAGGGCATTGTTATCCCAACACAGTATTTCCAAACAATATGCCTTGGAATTAGATGCAATAGAAAATGAAATGTTTTCTCAGCACTATTTCTACAATTTCAGACTTAACAATTCATCAGTGCTTAAAAATTTCTAATTTACTAATTTCCATTGCTTGTACAGGAATTCTCGAGGTTTCACAAGGAAATTACACCTATGTTTGATGGTCTTCAAAACAACAGAGTTGAATGGAAAACACGAGCTGATGAATATGAAGAGAAGATGAAAGCTATTGAGGAACAAAAGAAAAAGGAAGAAGAAGCAGCTGCCCAAAAAGGTTAAGTAACTTCTTAAGTTTTCATTTACATATATTTTTACGGCAGTCAACATATTCTCTCTCTCTCTCAAATTCACACATGCAGTGCAGTTATGCAATATTAGACTTTATACTAATGGTATGCAAGTTCTGAATTAGCCAAATTAGCTTTATCTTTACTTGAAAGAGAAGTAAACTTTAAAGGTTACAAAAATCCAGTAAGTACATTGACCTCATTTCTGAACTGCGGAATTATATGACCACCACAAAAGTAAGAGAATGTAACATTTCTTCTATCTAAAGACTTAAAACTGAATCTAATTAAACACTTACTTATCTGAAATACAAGAGATGCATCAAAATTCTGCATCATCAGCCCCAAATGTATTCAGGTGCTTTGTTTTCAGCTGAAAACGAAAAACATAAGGGAACAGAGAGTATGCATTTGGAACATAAAAAAAACCAGCACAAATTCCTACCTCTCACCAAGTTTAAGATAAAGCTTTTGGCTCTAGTTTCCTACCACCAGTTTCTTGGCTGAAATACACTCTCTCATATAACAAATTCAACATTAGTCTTCCAAAGACAGACCAGTTCCTAAAATTGGAAGCATGGTTCTGCATAGCATAACCTAGAAGAGAATTGGATTTTATAGAAACTTGAAACCTGTCACTCAAGTTTAAGTGTGAAATGAGTCAGTTTCTTCTATTCTTTGTATTGCATGTGGAGCAGCAGGTCTACAGCTCTGCCAATCGATTGAGATGACTGAAAAGGTTCAAAGGTTAAAAAAAGCCATGAGTGATTAAAACAGTGATAAATGGTCAGCTAGTTTGAAGAAGAAAAGTTTACTTTTTCACATGTCTTTAAAATATAAAACAGTATTGAATAATTTATTTGTTAATCAGTATCTGTGGGAAATAGGTGAGTATTCTTCACATTTCACATATAAGAAGCTGTCCAAGGCCACTGCATTAAGTTACCATCAGTTATTGGCTCCTACAAAACTGATATTAGGTTACAATAAAAATAAATGTAAAAGAAACGAAAAAGTTGTTGCGAAGTTGTTTAAGAAGTACTGTAAGTTACATGATTTAATCAAAGCAGATTTTTTAGAGTTTAATAGAATGAGTCAAGTATTTTGGCCTGCTCACAATGTGATACTAATTACACATATTTTCACAGAAATTCCAACCTCCTACTTGCTCCCAAATTTATTTTCAATGACGCTTTCATTTTTTTGAAATCATATAATTTTTATTTAAGACTAATTTATTGCTGAGAACTAGCTGGTTGTCAGTATGAAAAGAAGTACTTTTTCCTTACACTGGAACATAAACATCTGAACTTTACAGAAATACCAGCAAAACAAAACAAAACCTGGGACCTCCTTACACAACTTCAAACCTCCTTATACATTTGCTTTCTCAGCAAAGAATATTACCAAAAAAAGTTACCAAAGTCGGATCCAATGCTCCTAAGCTTCTTAAATAGAAATTAAATAATCAATTTAGGAAGAGTCAGGTATTTCTACACTCATTTGGAAGTTAGGACCATCCTACATAATTGGTATTTTGGAATCACTTAAGTTATTGAATTAATAAGTATTTTCCTTATAGGAAAATAGGAAACCTTACACATGCTTACACAGGCAAGCATGGACAGACTGATTTGCAGAAGCTAAGGATCTGGCCTTTGCATATCATAATTGGCAATGCAAAACAAAAGGGAATAATTCTGCATCCTTTAAAAACACACACTGGAATGAGGCCATGGACATTTGTGAAGAACAGATCTGACACTGTCAAATCAGGGCCATGTAAATATATGGGTTTGTTAAGTCAGTTAATACAAACAGAAATTTGATACATGCTGAACCATGGTGGTTTTCTGTAGAACACACTGACCTGGCTATTCTTAGCCATTCAGTAGACACAAAATAAACATGTTTGCTGAACCACTACAGTGGAAAGTTCAGAACTGAAGTAAAGCAAAATACAGTATTAAACTGAGAAAATCAAATACATAGTTAGTAAAATAGTGTTGAATATATCCACAAATTACAGAGGGTAGGACACTGATTATGTGACATGTTTCAATGCAGGTGGAAAGGGTCGAAAATGACCTAGTAACATGGTGATCCACAGCTTTCAAATGTAAGTTTTAATTCTAATATTGGTATCTTACCTTAAGTGAATCTGGAAATGCAATTTATTACATTGAAAGAATCTTAACTATGACCAATGAACATCTGTGGCATCATTTGAGAGAGAGTAACAGAATCAGTAGCTATCTCTCTCTCTTAATTAGTAATTACAAAGGGATTCATGCAGGGTTGGAAAAAGGTTTATGCAATTAGGTCAAATTAAAGTTTTTGTATCATTTTCTTCAAGAATAGATTCACAGATTATATTGATTCAAGAGTTTCTTTCTTTTGCATGGCTTGCATACCTCAGTTTTGTATGTGTGGGACAGAGTCATATATTTAAATACTGAAACTTTCCAGTAAGAGTGGTTCAGTGTGTGTTTGGTCCCTTGAGAAATGATGGTATCAACTCCTACACTATATACACATATGTATATATAACATGTCATTGTTTCTTATTCCAATATCTCAGACAAGCAGTGAAATTTCAGACAGCCAAACATACATAATATGCATAAAATAAAAGCAGCACTCCTTAATAAGGAATTAGAGCAGATAAAATTAACAGTAAATACTCATTTTACTTTCCTTCCTTGTTTTTTAACAGAAAGTGCTGCTGCAGGTGGTGGAGGTGGTGAAGAAGGAAAATCCAAAACATGTGTAGTTTTGTAATTCTTTGTCTCAGATACTGTTCCTGCTACAAGAAAAGACATCTAGAAAGACCTTCAATGAGCCCCTGTGGATTCCTGCTTTGTATAGAATAGCATAGATCAATTTCTTAATCCTCTTAAACACTTGCCATTTGTTGGAAATAATTTTTAATGGATTAAAAAATACCAGTTACTATTAAAAACTGGAAAAAATAATGGTGCAAAATGAGTTAACTGTGTGCTCTAGGTATTTTTTCATGTCACTCAATTTACATACAGTACTTTTATTAAAATATGTAACTTCTAAATACACTGTCTGTGTATTTCCTTCATCTGTAATTCTGTCATTTTCCTTCATTCTCAATAATATATAAAGTCCCAGAGTAAAACATTTTTTTCACTTTAGGAATGCACAACACAATTCCCTAGCTCTTATCTATAAAAAGCAGGCCCATGGTACATTGATTTTTTTGCATAATTACCAATGATAAATCTGTAAATTATAGCCATTGTAGCCTTTTGATCATATGCAAATGGCTCTCCCACAGTTCCTAAACTGACCAGCTTTTATTGTAAGAATCTAAAATAGCAGACTACAAACATCATACTTTACACACAAGTAAAAGCTTACTAAGATACACCAGCATATCTACAAGCAGGATTTGCATTCAAGGGCATTTTAAAAGGCTCATGTACTCCCAGTGCATCTCTTTCAAAATGCAATAAATTAAAGTATTTGAAAACAAATTAATTGGCACCAATTTAATCTTCTGAGGGAGAGCAAAGCAGAAGTAACACACACCATATTCCCATTACCTGTCTTTCTACAACCAAGTAGACAGACTGCACACAAATTAGCTCTTTGTGAACACTGACCTTCCTTCCCACACCTTTGGAACAAATCCACTCCACACCTTCCACTCCGGAAACCAGCTCCTTCTGTGGATGGAGGAAGGCAAATGGCTACTATGTTAGGCACAGACCTGAGTATTCACTGGAACCAATTTCAAATCTAAGGAGATGGATGTCAAATGCAACTCCTGCAATAGAGACATTCAACATTCAGACTCAATCCTGCCACTTTTCCTGCTCCTTTAAACAAAGCAGACCCGCACTTCTTTTTTCCTATGAAGGACCTTCCACATCCACATGGAATGGAGAATGAGCAATTTGGTCATATAAATATTTCTAAGAATGCTCTATGAACAGAGATACTGTATACATTTATCACTCAAAGGAATCCACAAAAATCTCCAAACACTTAAAACATTCTGACTTATAAATGGGCCAAATATTTTATGCAAAGTTATGACATAAAACCAGGTAACATGTTATTTTCTGTACTAAATGCCACTACTAAAGAAAACCATTTCAAGATTGTTTGATAATGTATTTTTATTCAAACTGTATTAAATGATGTACTTAATATGTATAGTGTAACTTTTATAACTGTATTTTAAAGACCCAAAGAGAAGTTAGTTATTCAGAACACATACTTAATATGCAATACTTGAAGCAACAAATATAGCAACGCAGTTGACCAAAGCCCCTTTGGGCAAGTTGCACATGTTTAAGCAGATTGCTGCAGATTGGATTTGACTCTCAGCCAAGCTCGCAAGACGCAAGATGACAGAGAATTAACCTTTAAATCCACCTTCTTACCTAAAGAAGCCTTCATGCAAGGATACGTTTATTTCTTACTCAAGGACGCCCTAAATATGTCCTTGTACTGTCATCTATTATGTAAGTACAAAATGTTTAAAATGTAATTATGTTAAGTAATACTTGTAAATAGAGTTCTCAACTTATTCATATGAATGCATGTGAAATGTTCATAAATACACTACAACTATCTCTGCTGTTATATTGTCCACATCAAATACTTACTAGAAATAAATACTTTCTATACCTACAGTGAGAAGTACTCATCAAAAAAATATTTTATAAACATTAACTTCCTCAGATTAACATGAAAACTTAATTTTAAAACGTCTGACCTTTGTATCCAAAGTAATTTTCACCAAACAGAAAAAATATAGGCATGGTACCTATCCACGTGCAGACTGTTTCTTTGGAAACATGACCGAATGAATATTTGAAGATGTGTTGCAACTCAAAGAAGATGAATCCAGTAAGTTTCTCAAGCAATACACATGCTTTATTTGTATATTTAGGATTACACGTGAAAGAAGGATTAATGTTCAGTCAATGGAAAGGAGATCAGAAGGCACAGATAACATAAAAGTCACGTACATCTCCAGTAGAAAGCCACATGTTATTTTTTAAACCAAAAATTTCACCAACCAACCAAATTTTTATAGGTGGAATTGTAAGACATACCACTTTACAACTAAAATTTAGAAGAAAGTCACAATAAACTGAACTTTTTAAAGGAGTAGGAAAGATTTCAGATACAGTTTACTTAATTCAAGTAGAACACATATTTGACAAAATTTGAACTTCTCCAATAGCATTTGAAAATATTTACAGAGACTAATACCCAAATATTGAAGTCTAAGTAACCAATAAAATTTAAAGCTATTAATTCTTGTTTAATAAATTAAAAATATAAATATATTAAAGTACATGGCTTTAAGCTACTCACAGAATCTTACAAAATGCTCCTTTACAAAAATCTGGGAATAACTGAAATTTGGGATAAAATAAAAGCAGTGAAATTCCTTGTTGTAATATCAATAAACTATATTCTTGGTTTTTTAAGTTTGAGTGCCATATATATTCTGCCCTGAACTGAAAAAATAATTTCTCTTGTTTCAAGAGTATGCAGAGTATACTACAAGAAATTGAAAGTTTTTAGATTTGAAACCTTCTACAATGACAATCCACCCAAATGGTCCATATAAGTGACTGTAGAAAATGTATGCTGGCAGATAGAGGTCTCTGGAAAATTATGACTGGATTTCCAGACTTCCATCTTGACAACTCATGAAGAAAATCAGCCTACACCAATTGCAAGCTTTAGAGAAATAAGTCTTGAAAATACTCATCAAATTCCTCTTCCCTGTAAAAATGACAAAAAATAAAAGTCAGAAAGTTCTGCTTTGGATTTGTACCCAGGAGATAATCTTTGTGTGAAAAAGTTTTAGCAAACTTCTGATTAAACCTGCTGAAGGAACAGATAATTTTGACTTACTACATTCTAATACCCTTCATATTTCCTTGTGTGAGCTGACTCTAAGGACCCACCACTAAGGTAATTAATGGTATAGCAGTGGGTAAGACAGCAGTGGTATGGTAGTGGCTTAGCAAAGGTTTTCCTCAAGAGCTGTCTATATCTCCTCTTTGAAAGCACATTTTTAGGTTCACTGCATGGAAAGAGATTTGACATAACCTTTTATGTATAAATACTCATTGAAATATTCAGGACAACTCTGCCTTTGCAATTCTGAATGGACCCCGTACATATCAGTAGCTGCAAATTCATTACATCAAACTAACCGTGATTTTTTATCTGCTTCTCGTAGAGGACCTTTCCGAGTGTCAGCTTTTGAAGGACCATCTTCTGCACTGCTATTATCTGAGTCTGTTAAAAAATTGAAAATGTTTTTATTAAATGAAAATTTAAAAAACCATGAAAATTTTAAAATAATTTACCTTTTTTAAAATTAGATGATATATTGCTAGAAGCAATGTTTAATTGCAACCATGAGAATAAACAAAACACTTTGCTTTGCATAAAGTGAAAATGAATATGTTTTGCAATATTAATTAGAATAACATCAGAAAGTTTCTTAGGTAACACAAACCAATGTTTTGGTCAAATATAGCAACAATCATGTTGAAACAACAATCTTGACACAACAGCAACATACCATTTTTTTTCTAAAACTAAATAATTACAAACCCAGAATTACAATACAGTTTCAATTTATGATATTAATCAATTACCTTACTTAAATGATAGTTCTTATAAATTGTGACTTATCAGTAAAATTGTAAGAAAACATGGATTATTGTATAACTACTTCATATTAGTACACAGGAATCTCATCTCAGAAGCTCCCCCCTTTTCCTGAATCTTCCAATATCTTTTCTGACAGAACAAGTACTTTGGGCATGGTCCAAATCATAAGAAAAGTACTTCAGGTCTTTTTGTATCTAACTGGGAAAGCCTAGGGAGTGATGACATTCCTAAAAATGTATAGCAGAGCAGAGAAATCATGAAAACAGTCAATCACTTCTAGACAGTCTGCAACAAGAATTGGCACGAACAGGAGATGGGGCCTGTTTCACAAAAAAAATAAAGTGGAGACTGGAATCACTGAGATACAAGTAGTGACTTGCAGGTAGAATGCATCTACCTGCAACAAGTAGGTGGAAAAGACATTAATTAAAGTCTAGGATTTATTTAAAATCTTTTTTTTTTTTTTTTTTAGCGGAGTATCAGTATAACTCCCTGAAGGAAAATGTAGCAGTTATTGTATCAGAAAAGTACTATCTTTACACAGCATGAAATTATTAACAACGTACCTATTTTTGCACCCTCTACTCTTTTTTGGAACAGCCTGACCTCTCATTTTTCTGGTTATTTCCCTTCTGTAATCTGGCCCCACTTCTATTTTTTGATTAAACAATTTCCTCCTTAAAATTCCCTACACTTTTTCTCCAAGACATGTAAGTCATTCATTCGAATCTTTGTATTTCTCTTTGTTTCAGACAGCATTCTTATCATATAAAATATTAAAACACCTAATAAAACTAAGATCAATGACAACTGTCTGTGATATTATACAATTTATTACAAAAATATAAAGGATATTAAAATACCTTTACCTTTATCAGAACTATCTGAATCATCTGAAGATACATGATCTGTAAAGAAACACCAAAATAGAAAAAAACTGGTGAGATTCTCTTGGTTTTATCTGTTATCTTATATTGTTTACAAAGATATTTCTATCACAATTTATTACACTAAACGTGCACATGCATGCACGCACCACATTCAAAGAAAGCAAGTCAACACTATAATAAAATGATTTTTTTTGCATGAGTGCAAAGGTCATCAGTTTGAGCCCAGTTATGTCAACCCAAGATCTCCGGTGTAAAAAGGTTATCTAACATTTTCAAAGGGCTTTCAACCCCAAAGCCTCATGGAATGAAATACTTCACAACCCCTTCTAGTATGCAACATCCAATGATTGCACAAATTTCCCTTGCAGTGCATACTTTTCAAAAGGTTGTCCCTCTGTTAAATATAAGAAACTTATCTTTTTTCTGCATCTAGGAAATTTTACCTAAGAAATTTACCTTTTTGACTACCTGTGTTGACGTCAAGAAAGTTACATATCTGTCCATATAACTAAATGTATTTATACATAATTATATGTCTCTATCTACGTTGCTGTAGCAAAACTAATGTTCAACTAATCTGAGTATTTTAACAACTGAAGTTTTAAAGTTTAAATTTACCTTTATGGGTCTTTTTTTTGGACTTCTTTTTTGCTGAACGAGATAATTTTCTCTTCTTATTTTTTGGCTCTTTAGAGTTCTGTGCAGCTGTGCCTTTTTTCTTGCATGTTTTGACTTCTTTCCTCCTTTAAAAAAAATGAATGTACACCTCCTCTATTATATGTACTTCTTATGCAACAGTAAATCTGAAGTATTTAATTCAGTCAAACGTGTCATTTTTTCAGACATCTATCAGTAGTTAAACTGAAAAAAACATATTCAGTTGAAAAGTGCTATTAGAAGCAGAAGAAAAGTAATCACTGAGCTGAAATTGAGCAAATGAAATTTCTGTGGTGGTAGGGATGGAATTCTTCCAGTCTGAAGGGTTCTGTGCTATCATTAGCACAGCATCCCAACCCTCAACAGTGCCTTTATAAAAGCTCCGGAATATTTATGCTGTTTCAGGATAAATGAAGTTCCTAATCATCTAACTGAAGTTTTGTTACTGTGTGCTGTTCATCATAATTGTAACTTATCAGTAATTCAGTCCCCATTATTTTCAAAATATTTCATTACCGGTGATGGAAGTTTAGTTTGTGGGAACATTCTGGACATAGTCCTGAAAAAGAGAAAATGAGAACATTGCAGCCAAGAATTTGATAAGCATAATTAACAAAACTGTAAAACTAGTTAGAGCTATATCTTTCAATATCATTACCTTTTTCTTCAAAACGCTAGTTACAATGTAATTGCAGTCAGGATTGAAAAAAATACATTATGAAAGTCTCCAGTACAAACCCAGATTTTTCTAAATGTAAAGGACAATCATAGATTTAGCACTGGCTAAACTAGCTCTTCATTAAAGAAGTATCAGTGCTTCTTATGTACAGACATCCCATTTATGGATCCTTGTGGACAGATAAATTCTTCTACAATTATACTGAAGACATGAAAGTCTCTTAGAGCTTTGTCAAGAGACCAAATGCTTCCACATGGAGTGTCTTGCGCACAAAAGGAAAAAAATCCCACTACTCACTCATTTTACATGAAGTAACTAACAGTAACAGTAACAAACAATAAAAACTGTACTAAATGTAATTATCTGATAAACATATTATCATATAGACAATACTGAATTAGAAAACCACAGTTGAGATGTAAGAACAGAAAACTGTTTGAAGATAGACGTTTTCTAAGAAAACACAAATATTTGAAATAAAATCAGTAAAGCTGAATATGTGCAAGAAGTTGTCTGGTCCAAAGCCCTAAAGACTTCTAAGCCAGGTAACTGAATGAGCAATGACAATGCTGAAATTCTCCTTGCAATGCAGTACTGTCCATTAAAACTAGAAATGCTTCTATACAAAACAGTTTATAGCAAATTATTCTGATTTTATGACATGCTAATTATACAGAATAAACTTCTTAATCTGTAACAACTTTGTCATATATAATGATAACAGCTATTCTCTAAATCAAGAGCACCATGCTACCACCTGTGATTAATTCAACAAAATTATCTCCTATTCTGCATTTGTCATGAACTCATTACATTGGATCTCACTCAATACCATTCAAAGTACAAGACACTTGTCTTCTTTTAAGTGTAAATATCCTAGAAGGGTTGACTTACTCAATTTCACAAGTGCATTCCTCTTTTCGCCATGTTCAACGTAACCAAAATTCACCTCCCAGCTCTTCAGGCCTTCATTCTCATCACAGTGTTTATTTCCACAGGAAAACTGACCTGAAAAGAGTCAAAACCAGCAAACCATGGTTCAGTGATTAGCATGAATAGATATGGGGCTGTTATTTCCAGTTTTGCTCAGTTTTTGCTTTTTGTTTTCCATTTCCTTCAAATAAAAAAAACCCCACAAATCTAAAAATAACATCTAGATTAAGGAAATAATAACAGGGAACAACAACACAATCAATCATACTTGTCCAATATTGCCTATTTGTAGAGGAAAAATCATAACTGTGTTTTGAAATATGTGGATGAAAGTGTACATTATGAAATAATAAGCCTAATATGAACACTGAAAAATTAATGTCACTAGGGTAGATCCTATACCCTGAATGATTACTTACTTAGCAGAGGATGATGGATCAGAAGTTGTGATTGAGACATGCATCTTTAATGACACAAACTATTTCAATTATCACATTTGTACAATATGAAGATGCCCATATGCTTTTTACATAACTAGTGTATCTGATATACTGGACATACAATTTGTATTTTAGTGACTATCCATAAACACTTTTCTTTCAAGAAAAGGAAATCCAGCTTTGTGAGAAATGCTACATCAGCTTTAAAAGCTTCCTTTGGATCTTTATGTGAAAGCAACACTGATTTTAAAACAGATCTGCACATAATCAATTTTGTTTTCACCACTGAAGTCCTAATATTGCAGTAATAAAGATACATGCATTCCTTTTGCAGAAGACTGATTTGTATGCAGAGCAGCAGAAAGGATGTGTATTAATAGGCTCACACGCAGGACTGTTGGTGAACGATTAACCTCAGAAAATTCTGCTTAAGCAGCTAACTAATGGATTGGCAGTGTCCCCAGATACCTCAGTTCTGTAATGAAATACCACTTTCAATGCAAACATTTGAAGTAAATAAAAAACCAGAACTCTCTTTAAAAAAGCAAGTTTCAAATTAATATACATTAAGTATGTTTAACACAATGTAAGGTATGGCCACCAGTACCCTGTGTCATAGCAATCTCCAATATGACCTCCTTTCAAAACACTTATGGCAAAGATTAGAAAGAAAAGAAGCCAAAGAAATAATTTGGCATTTACAGTTAGTAAAACAAATGCCACCTCTTCTTTGACTTCCCCTAGCCCTTCTTCTTTGTGATCAAGCAAAGACAGCCATCAAATGCAAAGCAACCAAGTGTGAATACTGCATTCCTGCCTTCCCTTGTTCCCACCCCCAAACCTTAGTAACAACGCACCAACAGTGGTTCTCATCACCACTGAACTGACACAGCTACATCACTACATACACTAAGTACATACAATGCTAATGCTAATTACCAGACAGGTAGGTATCGATGTGTTATTATATTTAATTAAAGCAATTTATATGGTTGATTTATATTTTAAAATAGCTTAAAAGACCCACGGCTTTTTTTAAAGGATTGTTTGGAACCACACTTGGAGAGAGCGTCTGACACCTGCGAGAGGGTTGGGTTCTCGCGCCCCCCGGTGGTGAAAGAGAGGATTTATCCACCCTTACATTCCAATTGCTCACTTTTCATTAGCATTCCATTAAAAAAGCTTGAAATATGTAATTCTGCACTTTATCCTACATTTTAAAATATGGAGTACCACATATTAAATGTAAAAATCTATAATTTTTCTCCCACAAAGACATAAAAATAATTTACTTCTCATTTAATTGTAATTATCCTGTTAAAGTATTCAATAAAGCACATAATTTTATAACATTTTAACATGTAGTGCTGAATGCAACATATGACCACAACTACCTTTACAGGCTTTAATATTTACAACTTAAAAATCCCCATCAATACTGTTCTCGCTTTCTACTCTGAATTTATTAATCATAAATGCATTTCTAACTTTTTGAAATACATTGCAATTCAGGTGTTTACAGAATACATCTGTTTAAAGAACGGTAACTGAGTGAAACTGATCAGCAGTACAACTCCATATAATTTTCTGGCACGTGCATCCATGACTTCTGAAAACCACACGTGTATGAGAATCTACCCCAGGAACACCAATACCTCATTCACCTCATTTTCTTGCTTGTTCAGCAAGTTGAAAAAGCCCAAGCACCTCAGCCATGGAACAAGGACCACTGTGCAAAGTCCCAGTAACACACTGGTAAGACTTCATACCCAGAATTAAGGCACTAATTTAGAGACAGCATTGGGAAACCTGATAATCATTGCCACTGAAGCTTTCAAAACCAATTTAGCCTAAAATAGGTATCACACAAGAAACTTAAACTAAAAAATTTACATTTTGCAGAAAGCAGTGGAGAAACTGTTACTCAAGAAATTCCTGAGGAAAATCAAAGAGACTTCAATTACAGTTATCAAATGCTAACTAAAGAGGTAGAAGAACTACTGGAGAAAAGCAGCTAAAAAGCCAACCCATGAAATTCTACATTATCAAACATGTTATGGTGATGTTCATTACAAAATTGACCTTGTGAAAATAAACTAAAGGTTCTTTTAATTGTAATATGTACAGATCAGTGTGCAGTCTAAATCTATGTGGCATAAAACAGCAAAGCTGGAGGACAAGTCAATTTATTGTTCATTATTATCTGATATACTTACCAGTACCATCAAGTATTTTCTAACAAAATCATGTCAAAAAGCAGCAAGAGGAGCATCAAGAAGAAATGTAACAAAATGAAAGACAACTCTACCTTTTCCTGAAATTACTTCTTTCTCATGTCGCCATCTAAATCCAAACTGTTAAGAAAAGAACCAAAATTGAGTTGTGAATAGTAAACACTAAACATTGAAAGGACTGATTTCAGTTGATTGACATCCTGTATGTGGCTTATCCATTAAATTCTGGTCAGTAAAATTTAATTATTTCTCTTTTAATTAAAAATATCTCTCTGCTTCTGCTTGCCAGAATGGTATTTTTATAATAGAAATACTTTAAATATTTTTATTTTTACAGGAAGTCCTCCATGCTGAAAAACAATTATGAAACAAACATATTAACATTTCCAAGTAGAAGACAAGTTGGCCTAGAAATCTGGAAATAAAAACAAAATAATAAAATGTATTTTATTTAATAACCAGGTGTCAAACAGATTTCATTTCTTAGCAAATAGGAGACACTTCCAATCTGTTAAGCTACAAAACAAAGTACAGAGATGGCAAATAAGAAATTCTCCAGGAAAATAAGACAACAAAGGGAACATTTCCAGTCCAGTGCATATCAAAGTAAAACTTAAATGCAGAACACCCTCCTGTGCTGCACTGCAAAGCTGACAATAGAACTGAACTATCTGACAATACAGACGGTCATTTATCAGCCTCAAAGTTTGCAGACAAGATGCACTGAAGGTTCAAAGACAACCTTGACCTAAAAAATTCTTATCTAGGGAAAATGTCAGGAATAACAGACCCAGCACAAGCAAGAGCTGTCAAGAAGACTCTTCCACTCTCTCTGTGTAGCCTCACACCCCAGAGGTTCACAATGGCATTTCTGATTAAAAGGAAACACCAGTGGTTTGGCCAGTGAAGGCCAAGCCGGACTTGTCATCAGCAGGTGAAGTGGCCTGGGAGCAAGAAGGGTGAGTGGTCTCCATCTCTGGCTGTGAGAGCACCTGTGAATCTCTAGGAGTGAGACCAGGGGAGTCCCAGCCATGTGTGTGCATGTGAGTGTAAGTAAAACAGTCTGGACCAGCAGCTGGAATGTGCCTGTGGCCTCACGGGCTCGTATGTCTTCGGGCTTCTTACTGTTTTCTTCTGAGCTTTGGTCAGAAGGTGGTTCTGCTTATTTTTCAAATTCTTAAAGGAGATGCTCCCATGAAACTGGTGCTTACCGTTATCCAGCCCTTTGTAAAACAGTGGTTTACTTCAAAAGAAAAGTTCCTAAAGAGATCTGAGCTACAATCTCTATGCAGAGATCTTTAGAAACATTACCTGACTAGAACATTTTGGCCAGGAGCAGAATAATTACAGCTGTGAAAAGACAGATGAGCACATATGTGCAAGTCTCAATCTGTGACTCAATATTAAATACATATTAAATATATGTATTTAAAACATCACAGAAAACTGACCTCCAACTTCTGCTTTGACACCAAGTAGCACGATATAGAATCACAAAATCAAAGAACAGCTCAGGTTGGAAGGCACCTCAGCAGACTACCAGGTTCAACCTTCCATGGGGAAGGGAGCCCAGATAAGATTATCTATCCCCCTGGGCAATTGCATGTGAAAAACCTCCAGCATGGGGATTCCACTGTGCCACTGGGGAAGCTGTTCCAGCACCTGAATGTTCTCAATAGAAAAGAATTTCTTTCTTATATCAAGATGAAGCATCAACATGCATCGACAGTTAGCATGCAAAAGGCTGACTAGCTGAGAAGCTATTATCTACCCTGTACCTTTCATAGCACCAGCACTGCAAAACAGAAGGCACAGGGGGCTAAAGATAGTTTCCAGTTTCTGGAAATGCAGAAAAAAAATGAAAGCAGAAAAAATCTGAAAGCACAGACTGTATTCCATCGGTGGGAAATGGGATGAGCAGCTTATTTAAGACTTCCAAAAAAAAGTGCTTTGAAATCCTTCTGTACCAAACATAGGCACGGATAATTCAAACACTGAGAAAAATCTTATATTTTTTTCTATTGTTCTAAGAATTTCTGAGAAAGGACTTCCATATGACCAGAACATCCTATGATGTTTGAGAAAAGAAAGCATATATATTTCACAAACTGCATGACACAGCAGTTATGCTGACATGGAAATTCCAAAAATATGAGTAATGACTTAGGAGCATAAATGGGAACAGACAGTGACCTCAAAGTTAGGATAGACACACTTGAAGTCTGACAGGGAAATACTGTTCACACAACACAACAAAACACACACACACAAAAAAAAAATCTGGGGCAAAACAGTTTCCCACAAAAGACAGCAAACATATGGAAACTTGGCACATTAGCAAGAGAAACAAAATCTGTAAGCATGCTCAAGTGAAATCAGCTGGGGGGATGGGGGATGGAGCGGACATTGAGGGATATGAAATAGGTACAGGAAAATAAAATTAAATATACTCAAAAAGAAGGGAAGGCATCTTCAGCATTTTAGTTTTTGCTGATTTTAATTAAATTTTTGCATTTTGCTGTTGCAATTGTCTTTAGATGACTGCCATCTTCCCAATAGAGCTAAGCCCAGTCCTTGCAAATATTTACCAGTGAATGTAATTTTCAATACTATAAATAGTCAAAAAGAACTATATAGGCTGGGTTACTGTGTGCAAGAAACACCACGACACATCTGAGTTCAGCACCAGTCTCTGGAAAATCACAATAGAAAATTCATGTATACTCTTTAACTAAGAAATTAGTCAGCCAAAAACTTGGAAAAAAGAAAGACTGTTCCAGTTAGGAAGAAAACCTGGTGCTGGAATTGGGCCATTTCTCTTAAGAAATTCTATTTATTTACAAGGCACATACAAATCCTGTTTCCACAAACAGAAAAGAACAACCAGCAAAAGATGCTGCTTTAGAATAGACTTTTCCAAAATTGTTTCTGTCAGCATTCAAGTACAAAACTCTTTTTAGACTTTTTTTTTAACAGTAACATTCCATTGGTTTTTAGGCTTCATCTACTGCTCCTCTCCAAGCAACCTCTTCAGCCTTCTTTCTTTAACCCCTTTGCAGTTTCTGCCTTTCACACACAATGTACCTCTTCATAAAACATCATCTGACAGAAATGTTCCTATTCCCACAGAAGCACATTTTTGAGTCAGTGACAATGCTTGGATTCAAACTGCTGCTTATTAAGTAACTTGATAAATTCTCACAACTCCCTTTCTATGGAAGGGGTACTAACGTTCTGGTTTTACAACATATCCACAATCATAAGGCCATTTTTGAAAAGGCTATACTTCAAAATCCAAGATGATTTACACTAAGAAAAGATACCTTATTCTCTTTGTATCTGCTGAGATCTGCTATACAGTATTCTTTGAACAATTTGTCATAATACTTCTTTGCAAGCCTCTTCTCCCTATAACAAAAAGTATATTTTTTTTTATGAAATACACAAGACAACATAATTCACTTTACATTGTAATGACATTAGCAAGACAACATGTTGTTTCATCGAAAGAACACGAGTTGTAGACTTAGAAATGCAACAGATTAGTCATTAAACTAAGGAGTAATTTCCATAAAACTGGAAAAATAAATATAAAATAAATCCACTGTACATACTAAACTGTATGTTTTTCAAACTCTGCTTTCTTCAGAGTTTTTGAACAGTCATTTGGATCTCAGAGAATCACTATTATTTATTAGTTCTTTCTGTCATGAATTCATATAGACATTTGAGCAATATTACAATATGAAAGACCTTCAAAGGGTCTTTCATTTTCGAATCATCTTTAAAGAATGATCACCAAGTATGCACAGTAATTCGTAATTAGTAAAGGAAGCCACAAATTTAGTACAAGTCATCTAAAAACAACATATCCTATAATAGTTTCAGGTACCAATTCATGTCTGCTTCATCTTCTTCATTCCACAGGAACCTATGGTTTTCTCTAATAACATCAAGATCCGTCTTGTCATTTGCTCTATAAAAGGACACACCTATTTTTAGTACGAGGTAACATTAAAATGAAAATCCATCAAATTATAATTTGGTAAGCATCAATATTTTACAGTTCTGGTCTCTACCTCACAGCATAAAGGAGTACATTTCTATTAAATAAAACCATCAAAAATTAATTCCCTGGTGTACCTGTTCCCAAATAAAAAAACCTCATGGTGGAAAACAGCCACTGAAATTGTGGATGACTTGATCCTGTCTGAAAACACTTTTTATACTCTTTATTGGAGACAGTGATGTTAAAAGGCAGTTATGTAGCTCTACAGAAGTTATTATTCTGGACAATGGATAGCAATTCTGCACATTCAGAAGTATTTCAGACTGTTATTTTGAAGATACTGACATATTTCTTAATGTACCCTCCATTAATGATCACCTGTCATCCCTCTTTTTACATAATAAAAGAAGAATGATTCAGCTCTTATCTAAAAATATGAAAACAAAATGAAACAAGGCAATTGTGTGTTTGGGTATTTCCAATTACTGTATTTACCATTTATGACCAAAATAATTAGTAATTTGATACACAGCTCCAGCAATTTCTGGCCCCAAAGCTATAATATATACTTAACAGCTTTACATAACACAGGAGCTTTGAGATCAGGAGGGGAAAGGTTGCTAAAGGTTCTCACCCAGATCTTCTGAAATCCTCTATTTTGCCACCATAGTATAAAATGTAGTCATGCACAAACTTTTTATGTCTTTCATACTGAATAAAGCAATTAAGGATTGTTTCAGAATTTATTTCCTTTTACCACAGTTGAAAACAAAACAAAACAAAAAACCCAACCAAAATATTTTTATATATTTAAGACAAAGATTTTTCTTCTCAGAAACAGTTCAGTAATTTCCAAAAAAAAGTAGGATGAAATTAATCAGGAAGTTTTACTCAATAACCTCTCATAGAAGCTAATTTCCAAATACAGGAATTCAAGGCAATTTCATCTTAAAAACCTTATTCATCATTTATAAAAGTGTCTTCCTTCATCAAAGATACTCTGTACACATATACACAGAAACTTGATTCATTTTTTCAGCTGTGATTTAGCCAACAGCTTCTTTGTACTGCAGTTTTTGTTTAAAACAGGTTTGTACTTTTCTATTGTAAAAACAGTCTGGCTACTAAAATGGAATAATTTGTTACATTTTTACCACAAACATACAAACAAAAGTTGTATGCTTTAGTTTGGAAATGAAAATCATGGAAAAACTTGTAATGCTTCTCAGAACACTTTGGCCTCAGTGTAAGGCCAAAACAGAAACATAATTTGAAACACATTTTGTATCATAATTTGAACAAAATATGTAATTACTTATTCAGGAAGTGTCTTCACAAATAAAAACTTTATATATGGCTTCTTAAAAAGGATTTTCAATTAAGTTTTATCTCAATAGCAAAAAGAAGCTCCTATGAAGAATGACTCAGTATCTGGTGCTGCCCTGTCACCTAATGTGGTAACTGAGAAATCCCAGTATTTTACCATAATGGATAACCTGTGCCCCGTCTTCAAACCTGAAAAATTAAACAGAAGGATACAGCATCCATCGATATCAAGTGAAATCTTCTTTTTCTTGCTTCTTCCCTGTTAATAACAAACACATTCCAGTGAAAACTATCTTTCCATTAAGAGTAAAATGTCTCAAAAAAGCAATATATAACAGATACCTATCACATTCTTCAGCTGCAAATTGTCTGTGAACCACACTGCCTTGTTTTGCTTTTTGGAATGGCTTTATCAGAAGGGCATCTTCCTGTGTTCTAAAGGTGAGAAAAAAGAAGAAAAGTTAGTCAAAAACTTTTCATAAGGAATAAAATTTTCATATGCTAAACCTTGCACTATCTTGAATAATGAAAACTGTTATATTGCTCTTTCCTACAAGAATAGAATGAAACTTCAGAACCAACATCAGATCAGACTTTGCCTAATCTGCAGAATAGCATTTGCTTCCATCTGGAATTTAAAGGCAATTGCTTAAAACACCAATTTGTAATATTTGCTATTATTAATATTATCACTATAGAACAATGATAAAACCTGGAAGATTCTTCAGTTTCACTCTGACATTTAAAGTCCTTTACAAATCTCAGCTACACAGCAAAGTAGGAACAGGAAGGACAGGGCACTCACTGAAAGAGAGTGACTGGCAGTAACCCTATTCCACCCTTTCAGGCCAATGTCTCAACACCTCATTAAACAGCTCTGCCTCCTGTAGTGCAACCACCAGAATCACAAATTTAAAAGTCAGTTACCATGTATTGAACAGCACTTGTCAGTAGGCAGCTAAAATTACTTATAGAGTTCAACAAAGTAATAAAAAGTTAAAGATATACATTTTAGCTACTAAAAGGTATATTTAGTTAATTTCATTCATGAACTGAGGTGAAGAAAAGATTTTTTTCCCATAATTATCAGTGGGCAGAAAGCATGGAAATCAGAAAGCAGAAATCAGAAAGACAAGCCAGGGAATTTGTTTCTAGCTATGGAATATAGGACTCTAGAAACTTAAGGTATCATTTACTCAAAAGGATCTGTAAGAATCACAAAATTCCATAAGAAGGGTCTATAAAACAGCAATTTGGAGAAAATTTAAGACTACTATTTTCCTTAAAGTGAAAATAAGTACCATGATAGAGCAAGAAAAGGAACCCATATAAGAGCCCTACTGGGAATCAGCAGTGCTGTGCCAGGACAAGGATAATGGTGGTATTTTTGAAAGGTTCCTGATGGTTAGTTAATATTCCACCTAGAAAGTGGAATGGTAGAATGTACAATGGCGTCTAAAGAAAATGAAATCTGAACAAAACCAGTCAGTATTTTGATGGAGAACAGCTATATTTATAAAATAAATTAAATGGCACAATGCATGCTATTATTCCACAGATTAAAACATGATTTTTTTTTCCCAGAATGCAATCAGACACTACAAAATCCATTCTTTCAATTCTTCTATAAAGGAAAAATATGCAAGAGTCCTAGGAAAATGTCCAGAAAGTCTTTTTAAATAAAGTCCAATAAAAGAGCAGGGGAGAGACAGGAAAAAGTAAGAAAAGTAAATACAAAATGTAGGCCAAATGTTCAGTATGGTGCAGAAAGTGTCAAAGAACTACAGTACAAAAGCAAAATAAATACATAAATAAATAAAAATCTTTACAATACAGTCAGATCAGACTACAAAATTCCAGGTCACTAACTGTGCAAACCACTGAAAGTATTGGCCAAGGTCATCTCAAACAGGTACATTTCAAGGATTGATCACAACACAATTTACCAATTCCCAGGTCTCTTCACAAATTAATAATAAATAAGTTCTTCACTTTATATCTCTATGTGTTTTATATCTACAAAGCCTGCTACCACTTGGCCTTTCTTGCCTTGCTCTTCTGGCAGTTCCATTTGTCCTGATGGATCACAGTGGTGTGAACAGCGCTGCCAAAACCCAGCAGTGGATACTAATGCTTGGAAAAACAAAACCCTCTGCTCCAAGCATTGAGGGGCAAATATACACCAGATGGAGATGGCAGAACAGATCTTAATCAGCTGCCCCTAGGAGATGACAAGCTTTGGCAAGCTTGAGATGAGGAGATGCAGAAATCGAAGAGATTGATTTTTTCAAAAACCATTTCAACACCATACCTTACATGCAACAGTTTCATCTTCTATGCACACTAAGAGGCCATTTGTACAAAATACATCATGTAAAGTGTTAATTCTGAACTACATTACCTTTTAGTCTTTTGCAGAGACGTCTCTCCACTCTCCTCATCACTAAAATCAGAATCATAGCCTCCATGGCCACGTGCCTGAAAATAATAGACCAGTCAATATATCTGCTAATGTAATATGGATATGGCATAATTACAAATCAGTACTGTCCATCATGCATAAATAAAAGACAGAAAGAGAGCAAATGAACTAGTGCAAATTCTCACATGTCTAAGCCAAATAAAATTCCACAGACAATGCAGAGTATATTTCAGATAATACAGGACAAAGAAAAATTACTTTGTAAAATAGATTACTTTATAAATAGTTTATATGCATATGTCCTCATATTTAATCCTCACATAGATGCAGCAAACTGAAAGTATGATAAATACCTTGGGTGTTTATTTTCTAAACAACATTATTTATGTAAGACAAAGGTGAATGTCTTCCCCAGGAGTTAGTCTTTCAAGGGGCTGGAGGACAGCAAGTGATATGCCCACATTATAAATGAAGGATAATGGGAATAAAAGTTTCTTGGGCTGTGATGCAGCCTTTTAGATCATCAGATCTTACACCAGTAGCTGGAAATCTGATTGAAACAATAATTAAAATGAAATTCTTCTTTTTCACACACTTTGGGACTACAGTGTCAAATTAATGCATATAAGAAAACCAAAATATCCATACAGTAATCCTTTCAAATGACCAAGCACTGACTGATGCCCAGATCTGTTGCCTCCGTTTTTCAAGGCACAGCTCTATGCTCAATTCCCTCAGGAGATGCGATGGCTTAAGTAGATCCCATCTCCTCTCCCTCACTCCTACTCTGGTACCTTCCTTCCAGGTGCTCATTTACAATTGTGAAAGTACACATGAGCCAGATTAAACAACTCACCCAAGTTACAAAGGAACCTATGCAAAAAAATATTGTTTTAACCCATGTAAATTTCCTTAGCCCTCCCTGAGCGCCCACAACCTACAGCAGCCAGCTGAAGGGACAACACAGGGAGAGAAAAGCCAGAGCTGGCCACCACATAAACCAGCCCCGACTCCAAACCAGGTTTTACACAACTAAGGTAAAAGTAAGAGGGATGGTTATTAATACAGCTGCATATGGAAAGGTTCCACACACACTATCAAAGTATCCTGGTGAGACTGTGGATAAGAAAAGACAATGGGTTAGAAAACAAGTGTGTTTGATTCAGCTAATTCTTATATTACCTACAATTATATTCCTTCTCTGCCAAAAAGCTGAGAAAAACAAAATCTGAAAAAAGACACAACTCCTCAGGATGATTTTGATGAGGTGCCTTCTCTTGATGCAAATGCCTTGCAGAAATGCCATGCTGAAGAGTCAGCTGTATCCTCTACTGACACCAACAGCTGGTTAGTATTGTGGACAATATGTAAAACACTATCTTCTCAAACTAACAGTGAAGGACTCTTTTTATGATTTTTTAAAATCCTATACTATTATTATTATTATTATTATTATTATTATTTATAATAGAAATAAACAAATACTGTAATGTTCCTCCCACTCTTCTGGATGCTTCTGAAGAACCTGTAATTCACCTACACATATGTATTTCAACAAAAGCAAATCAGAACTTTTTCTGAACTATTTTCTCTTTCCCACAAGACATAAAAATTGTCCATTACCAAACAAACCAGAAACAAATAATAATAAAAAAACCCAGCCCACCCCCCAAACAAACAAAGAATATAAATAAACCAAATAAACAAGCGCAGCAGATGTCTGCTGTAAACCATCCTCCTGCACTGGCAAAAAAGTGGCAACAATGTAGTGCCATAACTAGGTGGTTCTAGTAGCCAGCCTGTCACTAGTTTTGTTAATGAAGCTTATACTGTCTTTAGAAAAGTCTGAACACACTATGAGTATGCAGCAAATATATTTATCCTTGGCCTCAAAATTTAAAAAATATCATGCTAATCTGGGAAGGTTTTAAGTGGCATTAGTAATGCTTCCCAAATGAACATCGAGAGCTTCCTTCATACTCAAAAGGGAAGTCTCAGCCAACACCATGAGCATGAAAGTCCTAGACAGATGAAGTACTGAAACAGTCCAGAAAAGGAAAGCTCAAATGAAAGGATATTTTCACAAAGCAGTTGACCTTGGATGAGGTACCCCAGGAGAGAATTAGACATCCCCACTATTCAGCTCTCAAGTGATTCCAGGAATGACTCAAATAAAAGAAAAAAAAGCAAGAAGAGCTGCTCCAGCAGAGTCATACTGTAGGGCTCTCAGAAGCTGATGACTGCCTTTTGTAAAGCTGACTGGGAATATAAGGACAGGTATGGCTAAGGACTAGGCTGCTCTTCCAACAGGAAAGCTCTTCTCAGCCTCAGACATTCCTCTGAATCACTACAGTACCTCACAGATAAATTCAGAGTGAAAAAGAACACAACCCATGACTGATGTTCTGACACTTCTGCATCACTCCTCCGTTGAAGGCAACAGCAGGACAGACAGGTACTGCACTGGTGCTGGATTTGACAGCAGCAGCTCCAGCAGTGTTGGACCACACTCATAGAGACTGAGACTGAATGATTTCTAGCCTGACACCTTAGGGTGATTCCAAGATGACCTGACATTTCGTAAAATATACTTAGTTCATTTCATGAACTCCATCAAGGAATCTCATCCATAAATGAATCTTGCAATTTTGGAAGGATGATGTAAACAGACACCTACTTAATACTGTAAAGTTTCATGACAGATTTCTCCCTTTCTGCACAAAAAAAAAATTAAAAAAAAAATATATATATACTTAATATTTAATTGTAGAAATAGAGGAGCAGATACCAAAGCTTTGTGCCAAGCCTAGCAGATATTGACATGGACATGCATAATCATCAACAAAATTTAAAGTAACTACTTTCACGATTTAATAAACCCTTAAATATAAACTTTGCTCTGATGGAATTTGTCAGACTCAGAATGCCTCTAGTAAATTATTAATACAAAACCCAAGTGTTTTATCAAAACACAAACCTGAAAGCTATATAACTTAAATTGTTCTGTGTATTTTGCTGTTGCACCAACTTTGAGTTTTTTATTCCCAAACAACAAAACAAACTGAAACCACAAAATTAAAACAAGCACAAATATGCTTTGGGGTACATTTAGCTCACATTTAAGTAATCCAAACATCTTGGATTATTTAATAATGAAACAATTGGAGTCAGAACAGAGTCCACTAAACTCTTGGCTCTGACAACCCACAAAAACATAGTGAATGCATGAATGTTGTACACAACAGATGTCAGACCGAGATACTAACTCTTGATATCAATATAGGACACTACAAACTGCCCAGCACTGCATTTACAGCAGGTATTTGCATCCAGAGAAGGCACCTCCTTTAAGCCTGTCCAATGGGGTAAACACACATTGGTGAAATGTGCACATGGCAGTTTGTGTTGACTCCTGACCACAACACGTGGCTGAACACGAGACAACAGTCAAAAAGAAGATAAAAAGTCAAAACAATCCTATAAAATATTCCCAACTGGTGGCTCCTGACCTCGGGCCCAGTCTTGCCACTGCACTCATAAGCCCGGCTCCCATCCTTCCCTCTACCTGCCCAGCACGCAAGTCTGTGGCCATGTCTGCTCACAGCCCAGATGTGGCCCAGAACAGCTCCGAGTGCTTTTAGTATAAACTGTTTGGGGACGGTCTGAATGAAGCACAGGATCTGTAAGAGGACTTGAGGAGCCATCCTTGATGGATAAAGGATGCTGTGTGGAAGGTCAGGATGCTTCACTGCAATGTGCTCTTCCCTCCTTGATGTGGTCTATGAAGCTTTGCCACCCCACTTGGGGAAAAAAACTGAGAATAAGTAAGACTAGCTTCAAACCTATTCTCCCTTGTAAAACCTATTACAAGGAGTGCCTGCATATACTATACAGTGAACGGCCTTAACAAAGAGAAAAGGCACTCGCAAGATACTGCCCCTTTATTATAGCTACGAAAGAAAAAGTAGGAGTAAAAGGTAGGTAATAGAAGACCACGACATCGAGGATCAGAGCTTTGTGGAGCTCCACGGAGAAACTGAACACCGGCCCGTGTGGGTCGGACGCAGCTTCCGAAGCGGTTTTTTCTCGCCTGCTTCCCCGCAGGTGGCCCGGCGCCGTCCCGGCCCGCCTGACCCTTCTTCCGCCGCCGGAGTGGGGCACGGGCACGACGGACCCCGGCT